TTTAACTTCGTATCAGAATAATCTATCTAAACATTGGAAAACATTAGAACACTTAGGAAGACTTAGAGGGCCTACCGGATTGTTAATGTCATCGCCAGAATGATGAGGTCATCATCAAAGTTGATCGAAACCGGCATGGTATGGCTTAGTTTTTCTTCTTGAGTACGATTGTGATTTTTCTGGACTTTTTTGAAGTCATCTGAGGTATGTTTCGTATTTTAAATGTTTTTCAGATTTTTTGGGTTAAATCCATTGATCTACGATTTAGATGAGTTTGGGACTGCAATATTTACTCTAAGGTGATCTGTGGGTGTCGATTTGAACTCCTAGGAACTCAACTCAGGGAGAGTTTTGTGCAAAGCCCAGTTGTTTTTGGGCAATCCCCGGCGGTTTCTTGGCTTCGGTAGTCACCAGCTGCGTCTGACAGCTCCGGTAGAGCTCCTTTTTTCCTGACTTGCTATTAGAGAGAAGCTTGGTACTTAGGATAGTTTGTTTCAATGGGGTATTATTGCTAGAGTTAGTTGTGTATTTTGTAGAGGAAGCTGTGAATCCCATGACCACTTGTTTTTCAATTGCTCATTCATAGAGAGGGTTTGGACAACCATTGTCTTACAATGTGGGGAGCAATGAAAATGTGATTCCTGGCAGAATACAATCAAAGCAGGTGGTAAAGAGACTCATAAGCAGATGCAAAAAGAGTGGATTCTGGTTCTCGTGAGCCAACATCGTAAGCATACACGGACGTTGCCACATCGATCCCACAACATATTTCTTCCAAAATTGGAGGTCCCTCTTAAGTCTTTTCAATTTAGAAAAAAAAAAGGGTATAATGGGGATCCCTAGGCCGGTTCTCCCTGCCGGTTGAGCTAGTTATCACTTCCTGCATGAACTGACTAACCGCATTCATAGCATATGTAATGTCTGGCCCCAGTCTTAGTTTTAGATTGACATCCAACGGCGTACCAATCAATTTGCATCCAATCATTCTGAATTTAGCAACCATGTCGTTGACGTACTTACTGACGTTATGAAAGATATATGCCAGAACTGAACTTCAGTAACTCTATTCCAAGAAAATACCAATACTCCACACTTCATATTCAAACCTTTCAAAAAGGTTGCTACCGGTCACGACCAAGTCATCCACATAGATTCTAGACTTCTTCTCTTTGTGTTTTGAGGCTGTCACTAAGTTTTTTCTTGTGTCTAGTACCTGTTTGTGAAATCTATTGGTCAAAGAGGATTCTGGTGACCCACGAGTGACTTCTTTTTATGCTGGGCAGTTCCCAGATGTCTCTTGTGTGCTTGATATTCCTCAGGAGATCCTCTCTTCATGCTGGGCAGTAGTTTCCTCTCCTTCTTCAGGCTAGGCAGTAGCTTCCTTAGATAGTTGTTTTTTGTGTTAAGATTGATTTTAAATTCTAAGAAGCTATGTCCGAAGTTAGTGAAGAAACCAACAGTGAGAAGGGTGTAGTTAGTTGTGCGGATAGTCTTGGATGCAACCCTTCTCTCCAGATCAGTCTGGTGAAGTTATATGAAGGCAACTACTTAGCATGGTCTCGATTGTGCCTATTATTAGTGCGAGCAAGTGGGTTAAATGGATACTTGACTGGAACAAGTAAGAAACCCAAATCTGAATCTGATCTTAGTCAGTGCATCTTTGAGAATTCATTAGTAATGACATGGTTACTCAACTCGATACAACCAAATATTAGCGGGGTTTTTGGTTTCTTGAGACAGGTTGTGAGATTTAGTCAGCAGTGGCCCAGATATATTCACAGCTTGGAAATGATGCTTAGATCTATGAGCTCTGGAAGAAGATTCATGAAACCAAGCAGAAAGGTACTGCTCTCGTAGATTACTATACAAGATTGAGTAATCTGTGGCTGGAACTGAATTATTACCGGGATTTTCAGGCACATAGTGTTGAAGATACAACTAAGTTTCAGAAGTTGATAAAAAAAGAATGAATGTATGACTTCTTATAGGTCTCAATATGGAATTTGATCAGATTCGTACACAGGTTTTGGGTAGAGATCATTTTCCCTCCTTGAGGCAAACTTATTTTTATGTGCAATACGAGGAAAGTAGGCGAAATGCCATGCTTCATACTCTCATTCATCATCAGTTTGCTCTAGCAGCTGTTCCACAGAGAAAGAACAGATTCTCTCAACCTCATGGTGATGTTAAGATGGAGGACTAGAGAAGGATATGTTAAAGTATAACTATCGTGGGAAGACAAGGCACACTAAGGAGCATTGTTGGAAGCTACACAGTCGTCCATCAAGGTGACGTGGTGGATGAACTCCCTAGGTACATTCAAGATGATATTCTACGATGTATGTTATTTGCAGATGATATTGTTTTAGTCGATGAAATTTGATAAGGGATTAACAATAAACTAAAATTTGGAGAGAGACATTAGTCAAAAGGGTTTAAACAAAGTATGAGTAAGATTGAATACATGCAATGCAATTTTAGTAATAGAAGAGTTAGACTGGGAGAAAGTGATGATTGAAAATCAAAAAATACGAACGAGTAAACGATTTAAATATCTAGAATCGATCATTAAAAATAATGAAAAAATTGGAGACGATGTAACTCATAAAATCAGCGCCAGTTGGCTTAAGTGAACAAAAGACTCTGATATATTATGTGATAGAAGGATACAAATAAAATTGAAAGAAAATTTTTATTAGATAGCTATAAGGACAGCAATGTTGTATGGGACGGAATGTTGGGTAATTAGGAAACAATATAGTGACAAAATAAGTGTAGAGAAAATGAAAATGTTAAAATGGATGTGTGAAAAAACTAGGAGTGATAGAATACGAAATGACCGTATTAGAAAAATAGTAGGAGTAGTTCCAATTGAGGACAAGTTGAGAGAGAATAGTTTAAAATGGTTTGGTCATGTTCAATAGAGGCCGATAAAGGCACCGGTTAGAAAAAGTGATGTACTCTTAATGGTACTAGGAGTATGGGTGAACCAAAATTAATATTGAATTAAATAATAAGAAAAGATGTGAAAAAATTTAACTTAAATGAGCGTATAGTGCATGACCGAAATAAATGGCGAATACGGACTCATATAGCCAACTCCAAATGATTGGGACATGAGACTTGATTTGATTTGATTTGGTTTGGTTTAATTTTTATTAAAAATATCACTGATTATATAAAAAGTTCTAAGTACTCCTAATCATAAAATATTAGGATTCCAAAATCTCTAAGACTCCAAAAACTCTAAATCACTAAAAATTAAAAAACTAAAACAAATTAGAACTAGCACTCTAAATTCTATAATTTGACCTAAAATACGACCTACGGGTTAGGCTATAACCCATTCTAGAAATCTATAAATTACAAAAAATACCATTGAGTCTAAAAACTATTAAAATGACATATAAAATACTAATACTAACAAATTGACTCAAACTAACTTAAAATAAGACTCAAAATACAATAATACAAGATTCTATATGAATCTTTATCTTGATGAAAAGTCAATTTCATTATTTTTCACATCCTCAAATTTGCATTTCCACGAGCATCTTATGTATTGCATCGATATCAATCAAGCCCTTTCAACGTTGGACTAGATGACATCAGCAAAATTTATGCATAACCTTATTTGAGTAAAATTACTCCAAAATTATTCCTAGCAAAAATTAGAATGAACCCACCAGTAAACAGCCTTACCAATTATTTTTCCACCTTTCCCTCTATTTTTGGCTCTGTTATACCCCCTGACGACCACACCTATCACCACCACGCCATTACAATTCAACCAATCTTACATCATCCCCACACACCCATGGTCTAAAACCCCAATTACCATTACACACACACCTCCACACATAAGCACAAACATACACAAGCACAAGTTCACAAACACAAGTGCAATACCACTACCACAACCATGAACACACATCTAACACAGTGCGGCTACAAATAGAAAATTAATCCAATGACCAACCAACAACAATTCGAACACCAACCCAACAATCTGTACATAACCCGAACACCACCCAATTTCATTCGAACTCTTCGCTAGGTTCAAGTTACCTTCAAGTTAGTTTTCCTCCCTCATATGATCTATACCAATTGCAGGAGGGAGGTGCCTTGTTCCATTGGATCTTTTGGAAGACCGCACAACAAGGAATATGAATTTTTACCTAGAAACAATAATTTCCCATTTTCTTATTCCTTAAATACTACACATAAAAATGATGACATGATCCATTAGTCTGTCACTCATTGAGGCAAGTGTTAGTGTGGCCTAATTTGGATCAGTTGCTAAAGGGTAAGGATGATTCACCCAGTACTACACCTTATACTGTTGTTTCCGAATATCGCGAGAGAGAGGATCTTTATGTGTATGGGTGCATGCAAGATATGTTTGTGTGTTTGTGTGTTTGTGTGTGTGCATGTGCATGTGCATAAGTCAAAAAGGGACGAGGTGTAGAAAAGGGCAGGGTGGTTCAGACTGCAACCGAGAGGGGATACCAATGAGGGGTAGGGGTGGGGGGGTTTAGGTGCTCCTCTCTGTGTTCATTTGTGTGTTTTTATAAATTTTAGTATTTTAATTGACTAATCACCAAGTTCAACTAAGAATAAATAAACCACTTTTGATTTACAAATTCCAATTGGGATCCCCACCCCATTTAAGACATGTCAAGGGACGGTCAGGTTATTTTTACAAATGCCCGTGGGTGTCTATGAAATTTACCCTAGTTTGAATGTGTCATTAAGGCTAACTTCCCTCATGCACAATAACTTTGTTTAACTTCTAAATCTTCTCAGTATACCTATAGGAAAACCCCTTGCTTTATTTTTAAGTTCAATTGTCACCGGGTAGATTTGGGATTCCCTTCCTTCACATTTTTTGTATAGTTTACATATGAACATTCCCTATATAACATTGATATTCGCGTGAAAACAAACATACATAACAATGAAAACATATCATATCTAAAACAAATAGCATTTTAGTTATGTTAGCCAAAGACCTAAAATCATTAGCCCCAGAACTTGAGAAAATGGCACCAAAACATTACATTTTAGAGGAGATAAATTGTCCTACAAAGTCAGTGAACTTTTATGGCTACAATGATAGAGAGGTTAATCCATACCTTGCAGAAGCGATACTGCTTTCTTCCTGGGCCAAAAATGACATCTTTCACCACTTTATTTCCATCAATTTCCTGTGCATATTAGAGTATTAATTTGAATCATAAGAGCTGAACCTGATGCATAAATAAATACGATACAAGCATTCTTATGGTATAATTTACTAATGCAGCAGCTGTATGCAAATATACAACTGCAAAATTGTATGCTATAGTAGATCATACTAGTCCCACAAAAAGAAACAAGGATATTCCCATAGCCCTCCACTAGTCATTGTCATGCCTCTGAACTAAAGGAACTTGATGTGAAATTAATAGCTAGGTGGCTAAAAAGGGCATAAATTTCAAGCTTGCTCTGTCTCATTCCAAAAAATATGGAATCCTCATCCTCTAATCAGAGATTCTATCTTTACTTCCATGGCGCGAATGGCTACTTTAGTTCCTCGGGAAAAAATTGTTGATACAAATAAGTATGCGGGTAATTTCGTATCGGGCCGGAGTTGCCGCATTTTGGACTAGCATTACTTGGATCCTGAATTGATTTGGTATATGATACAAATACGGGTATGCGGTAAGATACTTTTTCAAGTACACATTACGATAGCCATAGACTTGATTGATACGCTATTTTGGATTGTGGCTTGCTTAATATACAGTATATTATATTAACAGTACTTTTAAAATGATTAAAAATATATTAGGAAGTTTATTTCAAATTTAAAGAAAGTAGTCGAGTAGATTGAATTTCACGCGTATTGGTTTTTGGGTCAGATTGACTGTTAGAGGCATTTTAAGGTATAACATTTCGGTGAAATTAAGTGGGAAGGTTGAAAGGGGTTTTAAATGGCCTAAGGAGGATATTTGGGTCAGTAGGAGCAATACGGAAGAAGGGCGCTCGAGTCGAGAATGCACCTTTCGAGTGGTACCTCAAGAAAATAAAATTTCCATAGAGCGGTACTCTTAATCGCACTATGGACGCTCTGAGCACTTGAGCAGTGAGCTTAGTGCTAGAGTGCTCGGCAAAAACCTAGACAAACATCATCGTTTTGGGGCTATTTTGACCCTTTAAATACCTTCAATCCCAATTTTCCCCATTTTCTTCTATTCTTCAACCCTAAACATTGTATTAGAGAGAGAGAGAGATCTCAAAAGGTGGGAGAAGGTTAGAAGATTTTGGAATTCTAGAAGATTTCAACACCTAGGGTTTTGGAACTTGGATCTAAGGTAAAGTTCCTTTTCCCATTCAAAAACATTGCAGAATATCAAGCCAAATTTTGATTCCTTGAAGATAATGTATCAAAAACACGAAGTATTTGATCTCGTGTCAAATCTATCCTGACTATACATAGTATTTTGGTAAAGCATCATGGATTTGATTGATTTCATGTCATAGGCTTTGAGACCCTTGATTTGTTTTGAATTCATTTTCATTGTAAACCACTACATTGCGTATAATTAAGCTGGTTTTGAATTCTAGTGGAACTTATGATGTGCTTTAAAGTAAATCTATGACCTTTCTCACTTTGTACGTTATGGGTTCACTAACTTTAATCTTTGAATATTTGTTAAAATTGAAACTTGATTCATATTGATGGATTCTATAGTTATATACATGTTCTTTCCATGGTTCAGACCAAAAACATGTTTTCTAAAATAGATGTGTTGGTTCCAATTAGATTTTATTGTTTTAGGGTTTAGGAATAGACAAAAATTTGGAGAAAGAGAGAAATCTTAGTTGAATGGCAGTGTATTATTAGGTCACACAACTACACCACAACTTATATTTAAACACCAAGTACCAAAATACCCTCTTGCTATAAAAATAAAGAATAATTAATACTCCCCTCAAATTGGTGTATAGATGTCTCTCATGCCTAACTTTCAAACAATGAGATAAAAATCTTGCTACTTAGTCCCTTGATGAAAACATCCCTCAATTGGTTATCTGATTTCATAAAGGGCATGCAAATCAAACCTCTATTTAGCTTCTCTTTGATGAATTGCCATTCAATTCCAACATGTTTGCTTATATTATGTGGAACTAGATTATGAGCAATCTTGACAGTAGCCTTATTATCATAATATAGTCTCATAGTTCCATCATCACGAATTTATAACTCTCCCAATAAGGTTTGGAGCCATACAAGCTCACAAATTCTACGAGTCCTTGCTCTGTATTCAGTCTCTAAAGTAGATCTAACTACCACTACTTACTTTTTGTTTCGCTAAATGACAAAGTTTCCTCCAATGAAGGTGCAATAACCCGAAATAAATCATCTGTCATCTAATGAATATGTTCAGTCTACATCAATGCTTCTAGCTACAAATGACCATGATTGGATAACAAAATTCCTTTCCTTAGAGCTGACTTAAGGTACCTCAAAATACGATAAACTGCTTCAAAGTGAGGAACATGCATAAACTCATAAACAACACCTACTACATTAGCAATATCTGACCAAGTGTGAGAGGGATATATCAATCTCCTCACTTATTTCTGGTACCTCTCCTTATCAACTTTATCACCAATATTACCACTTAATTGAATTTGTAGGTCGACATCCTAACATACCTGTTTCTTCAAGAAGGTATTTTCTCGTAGAGATAAAAATATCTTTATCTAATCTAGTGACCTTAATCCTAAAAAAGAATTTCAACGGATTCAAATCTTTGATTTCAAACTCTTTTGCTAACTGAGCTTTAAGTTTGACGACTTCCTGTATATCACTATGTCATCCACGTATACAATGAGAACAATTATCTTCTCATCAACTTGTTTGATAAACATGGTATGATCAACATGACTCTGTTTATATCCAAATTTCAACATATCTTTAGGACACTTATCAAAACAAGCTTTGGGAGATTGTCTCGGCCTATAAAAAGACTTATTCAACTTCCACACCTTCTCTGTAGATACCAGGGATGAAAAACCTAGTGGAATCTCCACATACGCCTCCGCCTCCAGATCTCCATGAAGGCATTCTTCACATCAAATTGTTGCAGATTCCAACCCCGATTAGCTATACAAGCAAGATGTGCACGTATGGAATTCATCTTGGTCACAGGAGTAAAGATCTCCTAATAATCAATACCACATGTCTGAATAAATTCCTTAGCAACTCGTCTAACTTTGAACCTGTCAACTGTCCCATCAACTTGTTTGACAGTGAACACCAATTTGCACCCCACTGCCCTTCCTCTAGAAAGAAGAAAACAAACTAGCTCCCACATGTCATTCTTTCTCATAGTTTTCATTTCTTCTAACATAGCTTTTTTCCCACTTATGATCATTGAGAACTTATTTCCAACATTGAATAGATACAAAGGACAAAGAAGAAACAAAAACATAATGGGATAGAGATAAAAAATCATATGAGATAAAGTTAGAAATGGGGTGTTGTGTACAAGCCCTAACACACTTTCTGTTTTCAATAAGAAGCTCAGAATCATATAAATCAGGATTCTCAACGACAGGAGTGATAAGTAAAGGTTCATTACCTGATAAATCAGTGGAAGATGTTTGCACCAAAATTGGGGAATACAATAGGCTCCATGGCATATGGCTAATCTATAATTTGTGAGACCAAGAATAAGTCTTCTGATTATCCTTGCTAGAGCAAGCACAAGATAGATCATCTATATCACATTTTTCCTTAATAAGTTGTTGTTCCCCCTCGCTAATAACTATGAAAGAGGTAACTAAAAAAGAGGCCCCTGGCATCCCATCTCTTCCTCAATAGTAGTATACTCCAACTTTAGTATTCTCCCCTGGAGAGATGGTTGGGAAGTAGGAAAAAATGACTCAAATTCCCGAAATGTTACTAATTATTTCATTAAAGTAAATAGAGAAGGAGAAGGAGAAAGACAAAGAATATGTTATTACAACTAACATTTTGATTGCAATTAAATAAAAGATGCAAGTAGAAACTCTTTTATAGTAGAAAAAAATAAACTAGAAAATGACTAATCTACCCTTAATACTTAATCCTCAAACACCCCTTCTCAAACTCATGATATCATAGTAGTAAACATCACAAGTTTGCCAAGAAAAAAACAGAAGCACAAACAAGTATAAGACTTCGTAAAAAAATCTATCAACTACATTGCACTCGTGTTGTCACAATATGTAAGGGTAGAAACAGACAAAATAATGCCAAGACCAGCAAGTAACCATCGCAACCAGACTATCTCAAGAGTGTTGAAAGTCATAGCACAATACTCGATCTCAATAGAAAAACGAGTCATAACAGTTTATTTTTGACTCTTCCAAAAAATAAGGGAGTAGTAGGCGTGGCAACAAGCTGACTAACAATGTGAATTACATAGGACATATCTAGGCGAGTATCTATAAGATACATCAAACTATCAACAATAGTGCGATATTGTTTAGGATCATATTAGGAATAGAAAAAAGTTGGGAGGAGAAAGAGAGAAGAGAAATCTTATTTGAACGGTAATGTATTAGGTCACACAACTACACTACAACTTACATATAAACACCAAGTTACAAAATAATCTCAAGCTAAAAAAATAAAGAATAATTAATAGTTCCTATTTCACAGTTTGATGAAATTGAATATACCCGAATGATATCGAAGGGTTGGTAGATGATTTTGGTTCCTTGTGAGGTTCCAAGGGTTTCTATCACTCCAAGGTGAACCCGTTACCGGTAGTAGATGGTTGTTGTGGCGTTTGTGGTGCCACAGGTTCCTACTATTAGTTCTCCTAAAGACCGAGGGTTAATAGACGATTTTAGTTCCTTGCGAGGTTACAAGATTTCCTATTACTTCTTAGGAGAACCGATTAGTGATTTTGGATGATTGTACGGTTCCCGTTACTAATCCTCTCTACAAAGCAAGAAGGACATCACTTCCCTAGGGTAGAAGGCCCCAAAGCTCGCTGGGGATTTTTATTGTATAGGTTGCTCTTTCCATACAATTATAAGCCCAAATTTCAAATTAAACTCCACCATGTTTTTGGCTAAACATTTTTGCAAATTAAGTGATCATTTTTCATAAAATCAACTATAAACTGGTGAAAATTTTCAGATCAAAAGGTTTTCTTTAAAGCATGCTATTTTATGAAATTTGGGCATGACATTTTCAGAACACAATTGTGTATCCACACAATCAATTAATATTTATTCTAAATTGTGATAAGACTTCCAAAGCAAACCGATTTGAGGTTAAGGTCGCAATTTGAGGCCAAATTTTGGCCAATCTAATTCGTGAATCCACCCCAACCCCTACTACTATCGTGCGACCAAAATGCATGTCATTGGGAGTTGAGCGAATTCTAGGAATATGGTTTTGATTCAATTTGATTACGTTATTCACACAAGTTATTACAAATTTGTTAAAGCATCCAACTCAAAACCCATTGACCATGTGTGAAAAAGCCCACAATGCATATTTCTTAGTTTGGGAGGGATTATTTTATCGATGTGAGAGAAAGTCTAACATTTTTCGGCATGTAAACTCCAGCTCGCATGTGGAGAGATTAATAGGAAAACTATAAGACAAATTTGGAGACATAAAAGTGCATTTATAGCACGAACAAAGTTGTGATCAATTATCAAATCGATAAAATTGAGTCTTTCCCAAACCCTCTCCAAGCCTATATGTGAAATCATATCAAAGCCCCTACTCAACATCAATTGACAATCAATAGCTAAAAACATTAAGTGGAGAAGTCCAGAAGGCTCATATACCAATTTAGGTGGGGACAAGCTCTAAGAAAAGCAAATGATAAAATGGATGCTAGAAGCTAAATAGATCTTTCAATATGTGAAGCTAAAAAGACGTTAATTTCTTCAACATTGTGTAACTTGACTGCAGCTGGATTGAGAAAACTTGTATTGAGGTGAAAGATAAAGACAGGTAATGCTTCATTTCACATACCATTTTTGACAATAGTTCTTCCCGATATGGCCTGTCCACTCCCGTAACACGGAGGAAATTTGCATATAAGGGTTCATCAAGCACTTCGATGTCATCCCTCTGAGGAAAACCCAAAATAGAAGAAGAGAAGAATCTAACTACATCAACCACAACAATGAAGCCTATAGACAGCATAATGCATTCACTATTGTTTTGCTTTCAATAGATTTTTTTTAACAATGAATTTGGCATACTAGCAATCAAACCCATCTCATGAAACAACTTTATAGAACTCTTGCAAATGGCTTTCACTAAACTTAAAAAGAACCAAATCCTCATTCTCCACTTTACCCATTATGAATAAGAAACTAACCAATTTTTATCATAGTTTCTCCATGGTTTGAAATTACAAATCAGTTGGGAATGCTAGTCTATTATAACTCAAAAATTAGGTGACATTGAAAAATAGAATGCAACATTGGAATTTAACAGGTAGACTAGAAATCATAATACATTTTCCTAAACAACAATACCAAATAGTCTTGACCAGTTTTTGACATCAAAATTGAAAATCAAGCATCATTTCAAGGATCAATAAGAACCTACTGACAATGATACATTTCACAATATAAACTAGTTCTTTTCTACATATTCAATTAGTAGAAGAATTTTAGGACTGATCAAATAGCAGTTGATCGCAAATAGCACAAATGACTTTTTAAATTATCAAAACTAGTATACTCCAAACCAATTACCTTCCACGGGTCACCAATATAGCAAAGAAAAAGGGAAAAATAATTTCTTCACGCATATCTTACTTAATTATGCTGATATAGATATACAGGAATATATTTCTGATCTTGATGAGGTGGGTACCTGAGCAAAAGAGTACATGAGGCTGGTACTAAGAGATGTTGGAACACACCATGCATGAATCACCTCTACTTCTGGGTTATTCTCTTCCATTGCCTCAGATTCTTGAAGTTCTCCACCGACTGATTGTTGATGGGAGCTGAGATTATAAGAATTAGGGTAAATTACGTTCGAACCCTACGAGGTTATCTCTTAATCATTTAAATACCCGATATTTAAAATATTACAAACAAATTTCCTAGAGTTTGTATAAGGGTAAAGTAAATTATACCTAGACCCTCTCAAATTTATAAGTTATACACTTGAACTCTTTATGTTTAAAATATTATATTTAGATCAAAAATATTCTAATTAAAAATAAAATACTAAATATTTTAAATTTTACAACAAAAAATCATATTTTATTATGTCATTTATTAAAATAAAATTAAAAATATAATTAATATTGTTGATACCAAAATCTGGACAACCTCCACATCAATTTATTGGGCTTTGATAACTTGAAAAATAAGTCAGAGACCGGAGGAAAGCTTTAGAGGTCGACTCTTCAATGCCTAAGTTAGTAAGTGACTCAAAAATATGAACTACGTATAATAATCAGTATAAATATATCAAAAAATTTAATTCAACACTCATTTGCATACAATTATATTGTCTCTATTGAAATAAAACTAAAAAATCAAATAAGATATCAAACTATAATAGATACAATATCTTCTATTTTTAATTGGGGTAATTTGGTGGTTTAATAGATTCTATTAGTCCTATAACTAACAAAGGGATTTAAGTATAATATTTTAAATTTAAAGGGTCTAAGCATTACACATTTATAAATTTCAGATGTATAATTTACTAGGGATATACTAACTGACATTGACATTACTAGTAGAATCTAAATGTTACGTGCGTATAAACTTTAGAAGTTTTGTATGCAATATTTCAAATATCATAAATATAAGTGATTAAGGGATAAAATTCAATAAATTTGAATATAATTTTCCCTAAGAATTATTGTAATATTGTGCAAGACAGCGAGTACACTTGTTATGCCATAAAGGTGTGCTGTCAACGACTGGTCCGACATTTTGTGATAAAAAATGGTTACTGCGTGGCAGAATCACTTTTAAACTTTAGTCACCGTCCAATGATTCCATTTCATCCCTAATTTCTTTTTTATTTTTTTATTTTAATTAGGGATAACAGTGGATCGAAACAAGAGCGAGAGTGTAGTCTCCATTCTCGGTCTACTCCCGTTTCATCATCTCCGTCCGCGGGTAAATTTATAATTTCTGCTCTGTTCCTACCTTCACCCCGCCCAAGTCCAAACATAATCCAACATTGTAAATAATCCAAAAAATAAAAAAAATTGCATGTCGCTAACTAAAAATTACCACATAATTCTTCTCATCAATAAGAACTAGCATTTGATATGCTGAGTAGGAAAGAAGTCTATCCAACACTTTTTAAGCAAAAATTCTAACAATTTTCAATGAGCAAAAAACATATTCAAGTATAATAAACTCAAAAATCAGAAAAAATCATATATAACACTATAATCAGAATTTAACAAAGACCATATTCAAGTAGCATAAAATTAGAAAATTCAAAATAAAGCATATCTAACACAGAAAATCAGATGTAGATCATGAAAATTGCAGATCTAACACAAAAAAAAAAAATCAGAACAAGTAACATCTAAAAATCTCATATCTAACACGCCATAGATCTGAAACAAAAACTCTCAAAAGCTAACACAACACAAACATTTAAATCTAACAAAACTCATCACACATCTAACAAAAAGGATCACAGATCTAACAAAAACTACCAAAAAGAACACAAAGATAATATATTTTACCTTATTGGACCAAGAAAAAAAAGTGGGCCACTGAATTTTGAAATTAACTTTATAAGTGGGTGGGAATGGGATTGGGATTGGGATTTATGATGTTATATATGTATCACTGGGTTAGTGGGGACGGAGCAGGAGTAAGTGTCAGTTCATCCCCACCTCCATCCCCATACAGGTTTATACGGATATTCCCCTATACATCCACTATCCAATACATATGGTCTATCCCCGGTCCAAATAGGACGGGTTTGGATAAATACTCATTTTTACCCAGTCCACTATCATTCCTATTTTTGAGTACTGGCTAAGAACCCAAAAAATTACAACTCAAATTTATATTATTCTTAAATGAATAGGTTTCATCAATTTTTTTAGTGCAACCTACTCATCTAGCACTCATTCATGAGATGATATATATTTGAGTTGTAATTTTGAGTTCCATTTGGATTGTGTGTAGTATTTTTCTATTTTTTTATATCTCCACAATCTCAATAAATCACTGCAATATTTTTTTGCTCATATACCAGACTAATGTTGGACATTAGCTAAAATTGCCACCCCACACAAGAGGGTAAATCTTTGGACAGTGGCCCCAAAAGACTACATTTCGTAGGATATTCAAACTCCTAACCTCCCCCTCATAAAAGGTTTATTAGGTAGCTAAGTTATCCCTAGACTAACCCATCGGGGTTAAGTTACTTCACCGTCAATTGTTGTATGGGTTCTTGTCTTTTTTCCTTATTTTGAAATATTCATATTGTTGGTTGGGTCCACATGTTAAAAATGCATAAAGAAACCGATGTGTATTTGGTCAAACGGTACTTCTTATCTTATGATGTTTTGTCTTCTTGAGGTCAAGAGTTCAAGTCTCCCTCACAAAAAAAAAATATAAAAAAAATAAAAATATGCATAAGGAGGACAATTTGGTCAAGTTTAGACAAACTCCCTTTACAATGTCACTTTTTTGGGTCGACACGTGATACAACAGTCAAAACAAAATATGGTATAGGGTGTGACTATGTTATTATAGGACCCACGTGATACAACAATCAAAATGGTATAAGGTGTGACTATTGTTATTATACAAAATCATTCTATCTTTTTTTTGATATTGTTAATTTTTTTTTTGATATTGACAAAATCATCCTATCTGATATTTGATGGAATGAGTTGAAATGATCCCTTCAAACTCATCCAACCATATCCCCAAACACAAGCATATCCCAATATGCGAGTTAAACAACTATGTTATATTTATAAAAAAAATTATGTAAATTTATGAGAATGTTTATATTAGTAGATCCCATGACTTTCACTAATGATCCACTTAGGATTAATATGCCACATAATTTGGTATATAAATTTGGTAAAAACCTATCGGACAAGGTTTTTTTTAGAGTTAAAAAAAGCTTTGCTTAGCTTGTGAGTGGGGGGTGAAACAAATAAAATGAAAACTATCTTAAAACGAAAAGTAGATATAAATTTGCAAGAAAATAATTAGTGTGAGTGCGTGCCCAATTTGCATAAACCTAAAATTTGAAGGAGACAATAATTTCATACACAACACCACAATCGATAAAATGTTACAACAGTCGTCCACATGAGAACTATGCGATCAACAGATCAATAAGATAACCAATGAGTTTTATCCAAAAAATAACCAGTGAGTCATTCTATGTTGAATACGTTACAACACTTTTTATTCTACATTGTAAGGCACATATGTAAACGTAATATGAATTCATATTCAGAGATTACAAGAATAAAATTCAACAAGTTATAACTATCTTATAATTGTGACCACAATTGTATTATGACTCTAAAAATATCATGTTGGGTCATGTTTGTAGATTTTATCATTCTCAACACTCTTCCTTAAGTTGTTATATATTATCACCATATCCAACTTGCCAAGTAAAAGTTGAAATTCAGTTGATCCGAGAGCTTTAATGAAGAGATTTGCAAGTTGTTTAGTTGTACGCACATAAGTTGTTTAGATGATACATGTTTGAAGTATCTATCGAACTATGTGTGTGATTAGGAAAAACAGGGCTCAAATCAATATAAAGAAATCCTTAGTATCATTNTGAGTTGTAGGCACATAAGTTGTTTAGATGATACATGTTTGAAGTATCTATCGAACTATGTGTGTGATTAGGAAAAACAGGGCTCAAATCAATATAAAGAAATCCTTAGTATCATTATAGTTTGACTAGACGCAAGTGTTCCACTTTTATGTCTTTTTGGCACATGTTTTAACCAAGTGATTTTACAAGAAGTTATAGTTATGGATCTGTGTTTTGCTTTAGCTGAGGAGCAAGACACAATTTGCATCTCCATTTTTAAAGAAATGATTGCTAAAATACTATGCAATAGCAAATAATTAGCCATCCGGTACCCTCATAACTTGCTCAATCGAGTCTGCATCCCAAAAAATATTTCAAGTTTATAAGATCTTTTAGTATAAATCTACATATATAAGTATATAAATAAAACTACTTCCCTTGGAACGGACGACTAAATATTGAAGGTGTCTTAAATTGCTTCTAGCCATGATTACCAAGGGCCTAATAGAACTTCAAAACCGTTATGTTGATTCTTGTTGGGATAATATAATGATTTATTAACCTTACACAGTTTTCCCTTTTCATCTTAAACTAGAAAAGAGCTATGTATCAATTTCCTCTTTAAGGCCACAATACAAAATGCATTGTTGACATTATAAGGTTACATTTATAATTGGGTAAATTCCATGAGTTACTTGAGTCAAATCAATCAAGGTCTAGGTCAAGGCATTGAAAAGATTAGATATCAATGAGTTATATGAAGAATTAACTGCATATGTGTTGCATATTTCAAGCTCAAATTATTGCAATTACACACTCGTTAGGAAGGGTAAATTGACTTAGCGACCTTTATTTGACCACTTGCTTAAAATTAATTTAGCTATCTCATGGACTTATTTATATAGTATATACTTAGTCTTCTTGTTTTAGTAATCGACAGAGAGATTTAAAGCATAATTGAAGACTTCCATATAGACCACAATCAAGCAAAGCCTTTGGTGGCTTAATCAAGATCATTTGAATTGGTTTTGAAATAATTTAGTAATCGACGCTCGTTTGCTGCTCTCTTTGCACTCAAACAGGGTGTTTCGATTAGGTTTTAGATTTTCAAGAACCTCACACCCACTTCTCACTAACCTAACACTCGAGTGGTGCCGAGTGCACTCGAGCAAGCATGAAGGCACTCGAATAACTGTTGTAGATTTAGAATACGGAAATTCCTATGTTGGCTATAATTGCTTGATCCGAAATAGGTGCACTCAAATATAAGTGGTCAAGAAATAGTAATACTTTGATAAGTCTAAGGTCGTTTCATAGAGATCGAAAAATTTGAAGGTTTGTAAAGGAAGAACAGGAAGAATTGAGTTGAAGATTTGAATTGCTTGTAAGAACAAGTGCAAAAAAGATTAAAGGAAATTACCAATTAGAAAAGTGACTCTTTAATTTTGGAATTTGTATCACTCATGCTCAATGAATTTTTATGTTTATGCAATTATAATTATTTTAATTGTTTTCCAATGTCAATGTAGTCAACAAAAAAATATAACTTTGAAAATACTAGATTTGATTGATTTGAAAACAAGAATTGAAGAACTAGTTCTATAAAAATTGCAAAAAATTATAAGTATTATACATACCAAGAACTCAACCAAGTTAATAAATAATCAAATAATTGTACATAATATAAAAATTTACTATAAAACTATTCAATCAATATTTGAAATAAAAATACAACATTAAAAAACAATGAAAAATAATTGCATTACATAAATATTTAGATCACAATCCTAGATCTATACCCAAGGAGAATTACTCACTGAACATGGTAAATCTCTAGATTTTGAAAAATAGATGTAAAAGCCAGAATGAGGATCCCCTCTCAATAGCTGAGAGGTATTATTTATAGTAAAGTCCTAGGCATAGGTATGTAGGTGATATCATGTAGAATTCGGAGAACACTTTAGTGTATTTGGTATGGTAGAAAAATGGGTGGAAGGAAAGTGAGGGAGGAAAAATAGAAGGGAAGGAAAAAGTTTCCATTGTTTGGTACCAAAAGAAAGTATGAGAGAGTGAAAAGTGGGAGGGGATCTCTATCCTTCCAGCCCACCAAATATTTTCAACCCAAATTTGGGCAGAAAGTGGAGGGAAAAAGTGAAGACAAAACAATAATTTTTTAAGTTGACTTTTTTACCCTTTACTTATTGGAGTGAAAAAACATATTTAAGAGTAAAATTATAAATTAGGCATATATGTTTTTCCTTTCCTTTCACTTTTCATCAAATACCAAACAATAGAAAATATATCCCTCTAACTTTCCATCCCTCTTACCAAACAACCAAGAAGAAAAATAACTTTATTTCCTTCAATGATGGAAACCATAGGGAGTGTTTGGTTAGCTTCTACAAAACAGTTTTTTGTTTTCAAAATTTCAGAAACACCAAAAACCTATTTGTTTAGCATTTTTGTTCTCTAAAGTTTGAGAAAAAAAAAATGAGATTTGAGTCAAAGAAATAGAAAACAAGTGTAGCTTGTTTTCAGAGTTTTTTTTAAAAATTTTGGAAATAAGGAGAACAATTTTGCATGTTCAGATATGAGTATATATATATATATATTATGAAATTGTCAATATAAAAATAAATTTTTTATATTTTTTTATTAATGTTTGAATTACTGTTCAAATATATATTTAGGCTGTCCAAACATGTTTTACTATTTTATGTATTATAAAATTGTTTTTGAAATCATCTAACCAAAAAAGTTTTTTATCTCAAAAAATATCAAAACCACTTTCTTAAAACTATTCTCAAAAACTATTTTCGAATACTATTTTTTGAAACGCAAACCAAATAGGCCCTTATTCTTTCCATTTTTTCTTTCTTCCTTCTTTCCATTCTTCGTACCAAACGGACCATTTAGGTCAACGTATGGAGTAGGTCTTCACGGTGTATCCAGGTAGTTGAAAGTCATTGGAATTTACAAACAAGCATGCGCGTTGGGATAGTGGAAGTTGTGTCCGAATAGTCAAACGCAAAAAAGGGGTTCAACACGAGGATTTTTCAGGGGGTCACCCATCCTATTACTACTCTCGCCCAAGCACGCTTAACTACGGAATTTTGATGGGATCCGGTGCATTAGTGCTGGTATGATCGCAACGGACATCTCTACACTTTTTTATTCTTATAAATCACCTCTTTTCCGCTCTGTTCTTTTTCTCCTTGACACATAGTAGCGCGATTAAACGTACAAGAATCGCCCCAAACCATCCACCGAATGGGTGCCGTACAAAATATAGCATCTTAAAGACCGAAAATTCGGGTCAGACAAAAAAATAGGGGTACAACACGAGAACTTCCCAGGGGGTCACCCATCCTAGTACTATTCTCGCTCAAGCAAGCTTAACTGTGGAGTTATGATGGGATCCGGTGTATTAGTGCTAGTATAATCACACCCGACATCTTCTCCGCCTTTTATTCTTATAAACCACAGCTTTTCCGTTCTGTTCCTTTTCTCCCCAACACACAATAGTGAAATTAAACGTACAAGAACCGCCCCAAACCATCCACCAAATTGGCGCCGCACAAAATATAGCATCTTAAAGACAGAAAATTCAAGTCAGATGCAAAAAAGGGGTGCAACACGAGGACTTCCCAAGGGGTCACCCATCCTAGTACTAATCTCGCACAAGCACGCTTAATTGCGAAGTTCACCCATACTAGTACTATTCTCGCACAAACATGCTTAACTGCAGAGTTCTGATGGGATCTGGTACATTAGTGCTAATATGATCTCAGCCGACATCTCCTCTGTTTTTTATTCTCATAAGCCACCTCCTTTCCTTTCCTTCCCATTCCGTTCCTTTTCTCCCCGACACACAATAGTGTGATTAAACTCACACGAACAGCCCCAAACCGTCCACCGAATGGGCACCACATGAAATATAGGGTCTTAAAGACCGAAAATTCAGGTCAGACGCAAAAAAAGGGTGCAACATGAGGACTTCTTAGGGGGTTACCCGTCCTAGTACTACTCTCGCCCAAGCACGTTTAACTACGGAGTTCTGATGGGATCCGGTGCATTAATGCCGGTATGATCGCACACAACATCTCCTCCGATTTTTATTCTTATAAGCCACGTCTTTTCCGTTCCATTCCTATTCTCCTCGACACATAGTAGCGAGATTAAACGTACAAGAACTACCCCAAACCGTCAACCGAATGGGCACCACACGAAATATAGCATCTTAAAGACCAGAAATTCGAGTCAGACGTAAAAAGGGGGTAACACGAGGACTGCCTAGGGGGTCACCCATCTTAATAGTACTATCACCCAAGCACGATTAACTGTGAAGTTCTGATGGGATCCGATGTATTAGTTATGGTATGATCGCACCCAACATCTCCTCTGCATATTATTCTTATAAGCCACCTCCTTCCCATTCCGTTTTGTCCCTTTTCTCCTTGATACACAGTAGCGCGATTAAACGTTTAAGAATCGCCCCAAACCATCCACCGAATGGGTGCAACATGAAATATAGCATCTTAAAGATCAAAAATTCGGGTCAGATGCAAAAAAATGATGTAACACGAGGACTTCCCAAGGGGTCACCCATCCTAGTATTGCTCTCGCCCAAGTATGCTTAACTGCAGAGTTTTAATGGGATCCGGTGCATTAGTTCTGGTATGATCGCATCTGACATCTCCTCCGCTTTTTATTATTCTAAGCCACTTTCTTTCCATTCCGTTACGTTCCTTTTCTCCCAGACACACAGTAACGCAATTACAAGTAAAAGAACTGCCCCAAACCGTTCTTCGAATGGGTGCCACACGAAATATAGTGTTTTAAAGACCAAAAATTCGGATTAGAAGTAAACAAGGGGTGCAACACGAGGACTTCCCAAGGGGTCACCCATCCTAGTATTACTCTCGCCCAAGCACGCTTAACTGCGGAGTTATGATGAGATCCGGTGCATTAGTGCTGGTATGATCACACCCGACATCTCCTCCGCATTTTATTCTGATAAGCCACCTCCTTTCCATTCCGTTCCTTTTCTCCTTGACACACAATAACGCGATTAAACATACAAGAATTGCCCCAAACCGTCCACCGAATGGGCGACACACGAGATATAGCGTCTTAAAGACTAGAAATTCGAGTCAGACGAAAGGAAACACGAGGACTTCCCAGGGGGTCTCCCATCCTAATACTACTCTCGTCCAAACACGCTTAACTGCGGAGTTCTGATGGGATCCGATGCATTAGTGCTGGTATGATTGCACCCTACATCTCCCCCGCATATTATTCTTATAAGCCACCTACTTCCTATTCTGTTTTGTTCCTTTTCTCCCCGACACACTGTAGCGCGATTAAACGTACAAGAACTGCATCAAACCATCCACCGATTGGGCGCAACACGAAATATAGCATCTTAAGGATCAAAAACTTGGGTCAGACACAAAAAAAGGGTGCAACGCGAGGACTTCCTAAGGGTCACCGATCCTATTATTACTCTCGCCGAAGCACGCTTAACTGTGGAGTTTTGATGAGATCTGGTGCATTAGTTCTGATATGATCACACCAGACATCTCCTTCGCTTTTTATTCTTATAAGACACCTCATTTCTGTTCCGTTCCTTTTCTCCCAGACACACAATAGCGCGATTACATGTGCAAGAACCGCCTCAAACCGTCCATCGAATGGGCGCCATACAAAATATAGCATTTTAAAGACCAAAAATTTGGGTCAGATGTAAAAAAGGGGTTCAATACGAGGACTTCCCAGGAGGTCACCCATCCTAGTACTACTCTCACCCAAGCACGCTTAACTGAGGAGTTTTGATGGGATCCGGTGCATTAGTTCTGGTATAATCGCACCCGACATCTCCTTCGCTTTTTATTCTTATAAGCCACCTTCTTTCCGTTCCGTTCCTTTTCTCCTCGACACATAGTAACGTGATTAAACGTACAAAAACTGCCCCAAATCGTCCATCAAATGGGCGCCGCACAAAATATAGCGTCTTAAAGACCAAAAATTCGGGTAAGTTCCAAGAAGGGGTGTAGCCCGAGAATTTTCCAAGGGGTCATCCATCGTAGTACTACTCTGGTCCAAACGCGCTTAACTACGGAGTTCTAATGGGATCCGATACATTAGTGCTTGTATGATTGCATCCGACATCTCTTCCATTTTTTATTATTATAAGCCACCTCTTTCTGTTTCATTCCTTTTCTCCCCAACACACAATAGTGCAATTAAATGTACAAGAATTGCCCCAAATTGTCCACCAAAAGGGCGCCGCATGAAATATAGCGTCTTAAAGACTAGAAATTAGGGTCAGACGCAAAAAAGAGCTGCAACATGAGAACTTCCAAGGGGATCATCCATCCTAGTTCTATTTTTGCCCAAGCATGCTTAACTGCGGAGTTCGGATGGGATCTGGTGCATTAGTGTTGGTATGATCACACCTAACATCTGCTCTGCTTATTATTCTTATAAGCCACCTTTTTCTTGTTCTGTTCTGTTCATTGTCTCCCCGACACTAAACGTACAAGAATCAATCCAAATCGTCCACCGAATGGGCGCAGCGTGAAATTTTGAGTCTTCAAGACCGAAAATTTGGGTTAAACGCAAAAAAAGGGTGCAACACGAGGACTTCTCAAGGGGTCACCCATCCTTGTACTGCTCTCGCTTAAGCACGCTTAACTGCGGAGTTTTGATAGGATCTCGTGCATTAGTTCTAGTATGATCTTACCCGACATCTTTTCTACCTTTTATTCTTATAAGCCACCTCCTTTCCATTCCGTTCCGTTCCTTTTCTCCTTGACACACAGTAGCGCGATTACATGTACAAGAATCGCCCTAAACCGTCCAGCGAATGGGCGCCACACGAAATATAGCATTTTAAAGACCAAAAATTCGGGTCAGACGTAAAAAAAGGGTACAACAAGAGGACTTCCCGGGAGGTCACCCATCCTAGTACTACTCACACCCAAGCACGCTTAACAACAGAATTTTGAGAGGATCTGGTGCATTAGTGTTGGAATGATCTCATACGAAATCTACATCGCTTTTTATTTTTATAAGCTACCTCCTTTTCATTCCATTCGTTTTCTCCTCAACATACAGTAGTGTGATTAAATGTACAAGAACCGCCCCAAATTGTCCATCGAATGGGCACCGCACGAAATATAGCGTCTTAAAGACCAAAAATTTGGGTCAGACACAAAAAAGGGGAGCAACACGATGACTTCCAAGGGGGTCATCCATCCTCGTACTACTCTCGACCAAGCACGCTTAACTGCAGAGTTCTGATGGGATCCGGTGCATTAGTGCTAGTATGATTACACTCGACATCTCCTCCACTTTTTATTCTTATAAGCCACCTCATTTATATTTCGTTCCTTTTCTCCCTAACACAGTAGCACTATTAAATGTATACGAATTGCCCCAACCATCCACCGAATGGGCGTCGCACGAAATATAGCGTGTTAAAGACCATCAATTCGAGTCAGACACAAAAAAGGGGTGCAACATGAGGACTTCCCAGGGGTCACCCATCCTAGTACTATTCTCGCCTATGCACGCTTAACTATAGAGTTCTGATGGGATCAAGTACATTAGTGTTGGTATGATTGCACTCATTATCTCCTCCGTTTTTTATTCTTATAAGCCACCTCCTTTCCGTTCCATTTCATTCCTTTCTCCTAGACACAGTGGCGAGATTAAACGTACAAAACCTGCCCCAAACCGTGATGCCCTAATACCGGGGGTCCTTTTTCAACCGTTGACCATCTGTCAACTCGCGGAAATACCCATGATTGTCGCACAACTAGGCGACACGTCAATAACATTCCCTTGACCGGGATTATAACCCACATGTTTGACTCGTGTATGTTTTACTATTTGGCCCAACCGAGGTCCAATATACCTCAATTATAATCCATTTATATCATTTGAGTGCAAGGACACTTAGCTTAAAAGCCTAGCCAAGCATTCTTAAAGTTTTTCAAATTTTTGGAAATTCTACCTGTAGGTTTTAACGGACCTACCGGTAGGTTTTGCCTTCTGAAAATATTCTATCGGGAACCTACCTATAGGTTTGACCTACTGGAAAAGTTCTATCGATAGGTTTTGTCTGTGACAACACTTATCCATACAAGATCTACCGGTAGGTTTTTATGGACCTACTGGTAGGTTTTGTCCAAAAATGCCTTTTTTCACCTGTTTTTTATTTCCCAATCCATTCAAAACCATTCCAACACCATCCAAAACATGCTTAATAAGGTTTTTCACATAAACCTAATATATACAAGGTCTATTACAATTAATTGCATATGATTACAAGCCCAAAATATATTTTTCACCAAATTTATACAATGGTTTTACAAAATGGATTCAAGGCCTCAAGTCGGCATGTTCTTCATCTTGGAGGTCCCGAATGAGAGTCCCCCACCGGTACAAACCCCGCACATGAAATGTATTCCCGTATAGGCTGAGCCATGCCTAGTAGAGTATTTCCTACCGAGGCTATTCCCCAACCTAAGTGCATATGAATGTTCATGCAATACTTTACCACCAACAACATCCCAACCAAGAATATATTATTCAAGTTTGAGATCTTAGCAAATCATGCCATAAAGTGAGATGAGACTCAATTATTCAACCCAACCTAAGCCTTCCCTAGCTCCTTTCCCCCCATGAAATGCCATGGGTATAAAAACCGGATTTCCCAGCCCCGCCATTGGTACTCTACACCCAATGACTATTTAAAAATTCTCTGAGTCTTTCTTGGGATGGGTATTTATGGATTTACACCAACGACACCCAACCGATACGGAATTTATGGACTTCCACCAACGGTTCCGCGTACACCAACAAACTTTATGGACTTTTATACCAACAGAATACGTCTCCAATCATCGGGTCTCTCACCCGAGGAATAGTCTAGCCCTTCTTACTAACCCCGACCCAATTCTTTATTCATAACAACGTGTGACTCAGTCAGATTTTCGATCCAACTATCCCAAGCCCACCATTATCCACCTATTTGGTGTTTGATATCAACCATGCACACACACACCCACACTTATAGCTATGGATGCGTTTTCTCCGTGCAAATGCAATGTAATGCACTATTGCTATTTCAATGTCATGCCCACATATAAACAATGCCACATGAGCAAAATTAACCACATATAAACATACTCCATGACAATTTACATCTGAAGCATATAATTACCAATTTCATCACAATGTCGATGTATCTATAAGCATCAATCAACATTTTTATATCCAACCATACATCCCAAACATGTTATTACATATCACATGCCAATAAAACACTAAACTTATCAAGTCAATAACATACACATATAACATGCACATAAATCACATTTCCATGGAATTGCACAAGCAACTGCCACATATCAATTCCAAGCTAGGAATTCATTTAAAACCATTTTTATTAATTTCACAACAATTGGTAAGTGATATATAATTCTATCAACCTACTCATTACATATAACATCCTAGGTTGTAAAATAAATCCGAGTAGGAAGGAACCCTACCTCTTGAAGCATAAACCCACTTGGTAGAAGCTTCCAAGAGTACCAATTTTACCCAAAACCCTTGATTTCTCCAAGCTCAATTTTGGAATTTCGGTGAAACCCGTCATTTTTGGTGTGGTCGCGTAGCCCTCGACGAGGAGAACGAATTTTGTTCTTGGCCCGATCGGATTTGAGCACCCAATCTCCGTAGATCTTAGAGATAAGGTGGAGAAATTTTTTCTTATTCCTTCTCTTCCTCTCTCACGTTGGAACCGGCTGAATAATGGAGGAGAAAATCAGATTTTTTCCCTATTTATACTTCCTAAACTCTTGGTCCACAACGTGCTACACGACCCTCTTTTCTCCAGATTCATTTTCATTTCGAAACGATTAAATTTTGTCCCGGTTCCAATTCAAAATAATTTTATTTTAATTTACCTTAAATTATTTTTTAAATTTTATTAAAAATTCCATTTTTTGGGTTATCAAAGACTTGACTGCCTCGTAAAACACAAAAAATTTGACTATCTCAGAATTTGATGAAATTTGACGGAGTAATTAGATTTCGTGAGACGAATCCAACGGTGAGGTCCATTTTCTCATCCGAGTTCAAGAAAATTTTAGGTTTACAACCGTACTATAATGACAAATTATCATTTTGCCCTTTTTCATAAAAAAATTGAATTTACCCGGGTTTTACAAAAATCGTCCACCGAGTAGGCACTGCATAAAATATAGCATTTTAAAGACTAAAAATTTGGGTCAGACGCAAAAAAGGGATGCAACATGAGGACTTCCTAGGGGGGCATCCATCCTACTAGTACTCTCGCCCAAGCACGCTTAATTGCAGAGTTCTGATGGGATCCAGTGCATTAGTGCTGGCATGATCGCACCAGACATCTCCTTTGCTTTTTATTCTTATATGCCACCTCCTTTTCGTTCCGTTTTGTTCCTTTACTCCCCGACACACCGTAGCACGATTAAACGTACAAGAATCGCCCCAAACCGTCCACCGAATGGGCGTTGCACGAAAATATAGTTAAAGACCAAAAATTTGGTTCAGATGCAAAAAAGGGGTCCAACACAAGGACTTCTCAGAGGGTCACCCATCCTAGTACTACTCTCGCCCAAGCACGCTTAATTGCGGAGTTCTAATGGGATCCGGTGCATTAGCGCTGGTATGATCACACCCAACATCTTCTCCGCTTTAACTACGGAGTTCTAATGGGATCTGGTGCATTAGTGCTGGTATGATTGCACCTGACATCTCCTCCATTTTTTATTCTGATAAGCCACCTTTTCTCCATTCCGCTATATTCCTTTTCTCCCATGCACACAGTAGCGCGATTAAACGTGTAAGAACAACCTCAAATCATCCATCGAATGGGCGCTGCACGAAAGATAGTCTTAAAGATCGAAAATTTGAGTCAGACGCAAAAAAGGGGTGCAACACAAGGACTTCCCAGGGGGTCACCCATCCGAGTACTACTCTTGCCCTAGCACTACGGAGTTTATGATGGGATCCGGCACATTAATGCTGGTATGATTGCACCAGCCATCTCCTCCGCTTTTTTATCCTTATAAGCCACTTCTTTTCCGTTCCATTCCTTTTCTCCTCGACACACAATAGCACGATTAAACGTACAAGAACTACCTCAAACCATCCACCGAATGGGCGCTGCACGAAGTATAGCGTTTTAAAGACAAAATATTTGAGTCAGACGTAAAAAGGGATGCAACACGAGGGCTTCCCAGGGGGTCATCCATCCTAGTAGTACTCTCACCCAAGCATGCTTTACTGCGGAGTTCTGATGGGATCTGGTGCATTAGTGCTGGTATGATTGCACCTGAAATCTCCTCCGCTTTTTATTCTTATAAGCCACCTCTTTTCCATTTTGTTTTGTTCCATTTCTCCCCGATACATGATAGCGCGATTAAACGTACAAGAACCACCCCAAACCGTCCACCGAATGGGCACCGCACAAAAATATAGCATCTTAAAGACTAGAAATTCAGGTTAGACACAAAAAAGAGTGCTACACAAGGACTTCCCATGGGGTCACCCATCGTAGTACCACTCTAACCCAAGCACGCTTAACTATAGAGTTCTGATGGGATTCGGTGCATTAGTGCTGGTATAATCGTACCTGATATCTCCTTTGCTTTTTATTCTTATGAGCAACCTCCTTTCCGTTCCATTCGTTTTCTCCCCGACACACAGTAGCGCGATTGAACGTACAAGAACTGGCCCAAACCGTCCATCGAATGGGTGCCGTACGAAAATATAGTGTCTCAAAGACCAAAAATTTGGGTTAGACGCAAAAAAGTGGTGCAACATGAGGACTTCCTAGAGGGTCACCAATCCTAGTACTACTCTCGCTTAAGCACGCTTAATTGCGGAGTTTTAATGGGATCTGGAGTATTAGTGCTGGTATGATCGCACTCGACATCTCCTCCATTTTTTATTCTTATAAGCCACCACATTTCCATTCCATTCCATTTCGTTCTATTTCTCCCTGACACACAGTAGTGCGATTAAACGTACAAGAACCTCCCCAAACTGTCCATCGAATGGGCACCGCACGAAAATATAGCGTCTTAAAGACTGGAAATTTGGGTCAGACGCAAAAAAAGGGTTTAGCACGAGGACTTCCCAGGGGTCACCCATGCTAGTACTACTCTTGTCCAAGCACACTTAACTACGGAGTTCTGATGGGATCTGGTGCATTAGTGCTAGTATAATCGCACCTAACATCTCCCCCGTTTTTTATTCTTATAAGCCACCTTCTTTTTGTTTCGTTCCTTTTTTCCTCGACATACAATAATGTGATTAAATGTACAAGAACCGCCCCAAACCGTCCACTGAATGGGCACCACACGAAATATAGCGTCTTAAAGACCAAAAATTCGAGTCTGATGCAAAGAATGGTTGCAGCACGAGGACTTCCCTGGGGATCATTTGTTCTAGTACTGCTCTCATCCAAGCATGCTTAACTACGGAGTTCTGATGAGATCTGGTGCATTAGTGTTGGTACGATCGCACCTCATATCTCCTCCACTTTTTATTTTTGTAATCCACCCCCTTTCCGTTCGGTTCCTTTTTCCTCGACGCACAATAGCGCGAATAAACGTACAAGAACTGCCCCAAACTATCCATCGATTGGACGTCGCATGAAATATAGCGTCTTAAAGACCAAAAATTTGGACTAGACGCAAAGAAGGGGTGCAGCACAAGGACTTCCCTGGGGTCATCCATCCTAGTACTGCTCTCACCCAAGCACTTTTAATTACGGAGTTCTGATGGGATCTGGTGCAATAATGCTGGTATGATCGCACCCGACATCTGCTCCGCTTTTTATTCGTATAAGCCACCTCATTTCCATTCAGTTTCTTTTCTCCCCGACACACAGTAGTGTAATTAAACGTACAAGAACCGCCCCAAACCATCCACCAAATGGGTGTCGCATGAAATATAGAGTCTTAGTTACCAAAAATTCAGGTCAGATGCAAAAAAGGGGTACAACATGAAGACTTCTCAGGGGTCACCCATCCTAGTACTACTCTCGCTCATGCACGCTTAACTACAAAGATCTGATGGGATCCGGTGCATTAGTGCTAGTATGATTGCATCCCACATCTCCTCCGCTTTTCATTCTTATGTGCCACCTCCTTTCCGTTCCGTTCCATTCCTTTTCTCCCCGACACAGAGTAGTGAGATTAAACGTAGAAGAACCGCCCTAACCGTCCATTGAATGGACGCCGTATGAAATATAGAGTCTTTAAGATCGAAAATTCAGGTCAAATGCTAAAAAGGGGTGCAACATGAGGACTTCCTAGGGGTCACCCAACCTAGTACTACTCTCGCATAAATATGCTTAGCTGCAGAGTTCTGATGGGATCCGGTGCATTAGTGCTGGTATGATTGCACCCAACATTTTCTTCGTTTTTTATTCTTATAAGCCACCCCCTTTTCTTTCTGTTCTTTTTCTCCCTGACACACAGTAGCACGATTAAACGTATAAGAACCACCCCAAACCATCAACCGAATGGGCGCCGCATGAAATATAGAGTCTTAAAGACCAAATTTTTTTGTCAAGCTTAAAAAAGGGGTGCAACACAAGGAGTTCCTCGGGGGTCACCTATCGTAGTACTACTCTCGCCTAAGCACACTTAACTGTAGAGTTTTGATAGGATCCAATTCATTAGTGTTGGTATGATCGCATCCCACATCTCCTCCGCTTTTTATTCTTATAAGTTACCCCTTGTCCGTTCTGTTCCTTTTCTCCCCGACACACAGTAGCGCGTTTAAACGTACAAGAATCGCCCCTAACCGTCCACCGAATAGGCACTGCACAAAATATAACGTTTTAAAGATTTGAAATTTGGGTCAGACACAAAGAAGAGGTTCCACATGAGGACTTCCCAGGGGTCACCCATCCTAATACTACTCTCGCCCAAGCATGCTTAACTCCAAAGTTATGATGGGATCCGATTCATTAGTGCAGGTATGGTCGCATCCCACATCTCCTTCATTTTTTATTCTTATAAGTCACCCCCTTTCCCTTCCATTCCTTTTCTTCCCGACACATAGTAGCGGGATTAAATGTACAAGAGCTGTCCCGAACCGGCCACCGAATTGACGCCCCATGAAATATAGCGTATTAAAGACCAGAAATTCGGGTCAGACGTAAAAAAGTGGTGTAACACAAGGACTTCTCAGAGGTCACCCATCCTAATACTACTATCGCGCAAGCATGTTTAACTACGAAGTTCTAATGGGATCGGGCACATTAGTGCTGGTATGATCGCACCTGACATCTCCTCCGCTTTTTATTCTTATAAGCCACCTTCTTTCCATTCCATTTCTTTTCTCCCCGACACACAGTAATGCGATTAAACGTACAAGAATCGCCCCAAACCATCCATCGAATGGGCGCTGCACGAAATATAACATCTTAAAGACTGGAAATTTGGATCAAACGCAAAAAAGGGGTGCAACACAAGGACTTCCTAGGGGGTCACCCATTGCTTGATTATTTTTGTTGTATACCCTAATGTCCTAACAAGAACCCTTAATGTTTATATGGCTTATGTAAGTAGGTGAGTGTCACTCTCACTCGGGTTCCATGCAAACAAAGATAAACAAAATATTGGTGGAATGCAATGTACAAAATGCGTGTGTGTGGGAACAAAAGTGCTCCCCAAGCACAGAGATTCTTTTGAGTGTCGTGTTTTACTTGAAAATGTATTCCAAGGTCATCTCCTCAGGGAAGGAAGGGAGTTATGTGATGGTGATTTTGTGAAAAAGAGAAATGTGTAAAATCTTTTGAGTTTTGAGTTTTGAGTTTGGTGATTTGTGTTTTTGATGGAAATAAAATAAAACAAGTGTTGGCTAATCCAAAGAGGTCATTCCAATGGGAATCCCAAATCAACTCGAAGCCTTCCTCGAATAGAGGTTGGATGAACGATTGATTTATGAGAAGTTAGGGACGAGATGAAGGTGAGGATCCAAGCATAACCCGTGACTAGGCCTACGGGATATCAAAGATTCACAACCGCATCCACTCTCAACCCAATCAAACTAAACCATCATTCTCTGAGAGGAGGAAAGACAGTGAGTTGATTTGGCATACTCAATATGAGTTCTTCCTTGAATTAGCCAACTTAAAATCTAGCTACTCATGCTAAAGGGAAGGACATACATGATGTAAAGAGTCATGGTGTTGAAATGGAGATTAAAACTTAACTCAATGCAATAAATCGTAAACTATGAAGGAAAATATGCAATACCCATTTAAAGCTTGAAAATGAAGAACTTGAAAGGTTTAATGGTAGAAACTAGACCATGTAACAAAACTTGCAATACACTTGACATAAATGAGATTAAAGTGCAATAGTTAAGGATTACAAGAGATTTAAGGCTTACTACAACTGAAATGGAGAAGAAAATGCAAAAATCTAAGCCTTTCTATCTACTATTCATCATCTTCTTCCTTGGACTACTCCTAAGCTTAGGTAGCCACCCTTGAAATGCTTGTGGAATGTTGAATATATGGTGAAGAGCTTTGCATTTTCGTCCATAGGGGTCTTCTAGCATGTGTGTGCAGGCCTCCCATCAATAGGAGGTGAGTGGATGGCTTTGGACAGGCTAGGACAAGCTTAGCTTGCACCCATTATGGCTGCCTCCTTCTTTCCCATCCCCATTAATGTTATTGCCTCCAAAGTCTTCAACTAGGGTGTAGAAGGCATGTAAATGTGTAAGGGATGTCAGGGGACAAATGAGAGAATCAATGGTGGGACCCCCATGCAAAGGGAGCATGAGTTACAAGCATTCTGGAAAAACCTACCGGTAGGTTTTTAGTGTTCTACTGGTAGGTTTTGGCTATTGGAGTTCGACCTACCGGTAGGCTATACCGGTAGGTTGCCCGTTCTGGACCGATTTTCATAGAATTGTCATAACCTTTGATCCAATCGTTCGATTGAGCTGTAATGTTGACAGAATACAGAGGACATCCAGATCTACAACTTTGATGTTTCGAACTTCTTCAGATTCGAAAGTGGATCATGGTCAAAAAGGAGCAAAACTGAGGTACTACAACCAAATGGTGCGGGTGATGGTGCTTATGTTACCAAGAACCGATACCTCATTGATTTCTTTCACTTTTAAGCCTCCAAATCCTCAAGTAATGTGTCCATGTCTTCACTACACATCCACATTTAGTTGCAAGATTCCAAAATCCATCATTTCAGCTATAATTACCAGTAACCACGAGATTCCAACATTATTCGTAAATTTGACTAACTCTAAGTAATTAAATGCAAAGTTTAGTTAAAATGCATGTAATGAGATCGTCAAATATGCGATATTATGTGCTCATCACCCATCCTTGTACTACTCTCACCCAAGCACGCTTAATTATAGAGTTTTTATGGGATCCGGTGCTTTAGTGCTGGGATGATCGCACTAGACATCTCCTCCATTTTTTATTCTTATAAGCCACCTCCTTTCCGTTCCATTTCATTTATTTTCTCCCCAACACACAGTAGCGTGATTAAATGCACAAGAACTGCCCCAAACCGTCCATCGAATGGGTGCCACATGAAATTTAGTATCTTAAAGATTGAAGATTCGGGTCAGACACAAAAAAGGGGTGCAACACGAGGACTTCCCATGGGGTCACCCATACTAGTACAACTGTTGTCCAAGCATACTTAACTATGGAGTTCTGATGGGATCCGGTACATTAGTGCTAGTATGATAGCACCCGACATCACCTCCGCTTTTTATTTGTATAAGCCACCTCACTTTCGTTCCGTTCCTTTTCTCCTCGACATACAGTAGCACGATTAAACGTACAAGAACCACCCTTAACCGTCCACCGAATGGGCACCACATGAAATATTGGCTCTTAAAGACCAAAAATTCAGGTCGGATGCAAAAAAGGAGTATAACACGAGGCCTTCCTAGGGGGTCACCCATCCTAGTACTACTTTTACCTAAGCACGCTTAACTGCGGAGTTCTGATGGAATCCAGTGCATTAGTGTTGGTATGATTATTTATGACATTTCATCCACTTATTATTCTTATAAGCCACTTGTTTCCCGCTCTGTTCTGTTACTTTTCTCCCCGACACATAGTAGAACGATTAAACGTACAAGAACCGCCGCAAACCGTCTACCGAATGGGCACAACCAGAAATATAGCGTCTTAAAGAGCAGAAATTTGGGTAAGACCCAAAAATGGGGTGTAACACGAAGAAATCCCTATGGGTCACCCTTTCTAGTACTGCTCTTACCCAAGCACGCTTAACTGCAGAATTCTGATGGGATTTAGTGCATTGGTTATGGTCGACATCTCCTCCGCTTTTTATTCTTATAAGCCACCTCATTTCCATTCCGTTTTGTTTCGTTTCTCTCTGACACATAATAGCACGATTACACATCCAAGAACCGCCCCAAACCGTCCACCACCGAATGGGCACAGCACAAAATATAGCATCTCACAGACCGAAAATTTGGGTCAGAAGCAAAAAAAGGGGTGCAACACAAGGACCATAGGGGGGGTCATCCATCCTAGTACTGCTCTCACCCAAGCACTCTTAACTGCGGAGTTCAGATAGGATTCGGTGCATTAGTGCTGTTATGATCGCACCCGACATCTCCTTTGCCTTTTATTCTTATAAGCCACCTCATTTCCGTTCCATTCCTTTTCTCTCCGACACACAGTAGCGCGATTAAACGTACAAGAACCGCCTCAAACTGTCCACCGAATGGGCGCCACACGAAATATACCGTCTTAAAGACCAAAAATTTAGGTCAGATGTAAAAAAGGGGTGCAATACAAGAAGTTCTCAGGGGTCACCCATCCTAGTACAACTCTCGCCCAAGCACGCTTAACTATGGAGTTCTGATGTAATCCGGTGCATTAGTGCTTGTATGATTGCTTCCCACATCTCCTTCTCTTTTTATTGTTATAAGCCACCTCCTTTCCATTTTGTTCCTTTCTCCCCAACACATAGTAGGGCGATTCAACGTACAAGAACCGCCCTGAACCATCAACTGAATTGGCGCCACATGAAATATAGTGCATTAAAGACCAAAAATTCTGGTTAGACACAAAAAAGGGATGCAACACGAGGACTTCCCAAGGGGTCACCCATCCTAGTACTACTCTTGTCCAAGCACACTTAACTGCGGAGTTCTGATGGGATCCGATACATTAGTGCTGGTATGATCGCACCCAACATCACCTCCACTTTTTATTCTTAGAATCCACCTCCTTTCCGTTCCATTGCTTTTCTCCTCGACACATAGTAGTGCAATTAATCATACAAGAACCGCCCTAAACCTTCCACCGAATGGCCGTTGCTCGAAATATAGTGTCTTAAAGACCGAAAATTTGGGTCAGACGAAAAAATTGGGTGCAACACGAGGACTTCCCAGGGGGTCATCCATCCTAGTAAAACTCTCGCCCAAACATATTTAACTGCGGAGTTCTGATAGGATCCGGTGTATTAGTGCTGGTATGATCGCACCTGACATCACGTCCACTTTTTAGTCTTATAGGCCATCCCCTTTACGTTTTGTTCCTTTTCTCCCCGACACACAGTAGCACGATTAAACGTACGAGAACCGTCCCAAATCGTCAACCGAATGGGCGCCGCATAAAATATAGAGTCTTAAAGACCATAAATTTGGGTCAAAAACAAAAAAAGGGTGAAACACGAGAACTTCCCAGGGGGGTCATCCATTGTAGTACTACTCTCACCCAAGCACACTTAACTGTAGAGTTATGACAGGATTCGGTGTATTAGTGTTAGTATGACCGCCCCTGACATCACCTCCGCTTGTTATTCCTTAAAGCCACCTCCTTTCCGTTTTGTTCCTCTTCTCCCCAACATACATTAATGCGATTAAACGTACAAGAACCGCCCTCAGTCGTCCACCGAATGGGTGCCACACGAAATATAGTTTCTTAAAGATCAAAAATTAGGGTTAGATGCAAAAAAAGGGTGTAACATGAGGACCTCCTTGGGGTTCACCCATCCCAGTACTACTCTCGTCCAAACACGCTAAACTGCGGAGTTCTGATGGGATCCGGTGCATCATTGCTGGTATGATCGCACCCAACATCTCCTCCGCTTTTTATTCTTATATGCCACCTCTTTCCCATTCGGTTTCTTATCTCCCCGACACGCAGTAGCATGATTAAACGTACAAGAACCACCCCAAATCGTACACCGAATGGGCACCACACGAAATATAGCGTCTTAAAGACTGGAAATTTGGGTCAGACATAAAAAAAGGGTGCAACACAAGGACTTCCCAGGGGGTCACACATCCTAGTACTACTCTTGTCTAAGCACGCTTAACTATGGAGTTCTGATGGGATTCGGTGCATTAGTGCTGGTATGATCGCACCCGGTATCTCTGTCGCTTTTTATTCTTATAAGCTGCCTCCTTTCTGTTCCGTTTTGTTCTTTTTCTCCACGAAAAATAGTTGCATGATTAAACGCACAAGAATCGCCCCAAACCGTCCACCGATTGGGTGCCACACAAAATTTAGTGTCTGAAAGACCGAAGATTCAGGAAAGATGCAAAAGAGGGGTGCAACGCGTGGACTTCCTAAGGGGTCACCCATCCTAGTTCTATTCTTGCCCATGCATGCTGAACTGCGGAGTTCTGATAGGATCCGATACAATAGTGCTGGTATGATTACACTCGACGTCACCTCCGTTTTTTATTCTTATAGGCCACCTCCTTTCACTTCTGTTTCTTTTCTACTCGACACACAGTAACGTGATTAAATGTACGACAAATGCCTCAAACCGTCCACTAAGTGGGCGTTGCACGAAATATAGCCTGTTAAAACCAGAAATTCGGGTCAGACACAAAAAGGGGTGTAATAGGAGCACTTCCCAGGGGGTCACCCATCCTAGTACTACATTCACCCAAGCACGCTTAATTGAGAAGTTCTGACGGGATCCAGTGCATTAGTGCTGGTATGATCACTTCAGAAGTCTCCTTTGCTTATTATTGTTATAACCCACCTTCTTCCTATTTCGTTCTGTTCCTTTTCTCTCTAATACACAGGAGAGCGATTAAACGTACAAGAACCACCCCAAATCGTCCAACGAATGGGCAAAGTACGAAATATAGCGTCTTAAAGATTGAACATTCAGGTAAGACGTAAAAAGGGGTGCAACACGAGAACTTTTCAGGGGGTCACTCATCCTAGTACTACTCTCGCCCAAGCACGCTTGACTGCAAAATTTTGATGGGATCCATTGCATTGGTTCTAGTATGGTCGCACTTGATATTTCCTCTGTTTTTACTCTTATATGCCACCTCATTTTCGTTCCATTATGTTCCTTTTCTCCCCGACACACAATAGCACCATTACACATCCACAAATCGCCTCAAATCGTCCACCGAATGGGCACCGCAGGAAATATAGCGTTTTCAAGAACATAAATTCGGGTTAGTTTTAAAAAAAAGGTGTAACACGAAAACTTCCAAAGGGTCACCTATGCTAGTACTACTATTGTCAAAGCACGCTTAACTGCAGAATTCTGATGGGATCTGGTGCATCAGTGCTGGTGTGATCGCACCTGACATCTCCTCCGTTTGTTATTCTTATTAGCCACTTCCTTTCCATTCCATTTGTTTTTTGCCTGACACATAGTAGTGTGATTAAACGCACAAGAAACGTCAAAACCGTCCACCGAATGGGTGCCACACAAAATATAGGGTCTTAAAGACTGGAAATTCAGGTCAGACGCAAAAAAAGGGTACAACACAAGGATTTCCCAAGGGGTCTTCCATCCTACTACTACTCTCGCCCAAGCACGCTTAACTACGGAGTTCTGATGGGATTTGGTGCATTAATGCTAGTATGATCGCACCGGACATCTCCTCCGCTTTTTATTCTTATAAGCCACCTCCTTTCCGTTCCGTTTCGATCCTTTCCTCCCCGACACACTGTTGCATGATTAAACGTACAAGAACCTCCCCAAATCATCCACCGAATGGGCGCCACACGAAATATAGTGTCTTCAAAATAGCATATTCGGGTCAGATAAAATAAAGGGGTGCAACACGAGGACTTCCTAGGGGGTCACCCATCCTAGTACTACTCTTGCTAAAATACGTTTAACTATAGAGTTTTGAGGGAATCCTGTGCATTAGTGCTGGTATGATTGCACCCAACATCTCCTCCGCTTTTTATTCTTATAAGTCACCTCATTTCCATTCGGTTCTGTTGGTTTTCTCCCCGACACACAGTAACGTGATTAAACGTACAAAAATTGCCCCAAATCGTCATCCGAATTGACACCACACAAAATATAGTGTCTTAAAAATTGAAGATTCAGGTTAGATGCAATAATGGGTCCCGCTCATTATTCATATAACCCTCATTCTTCCCGTTCCATTCTATTCCTTTTCTCCTCGTCATACAGTAGAGTGATTAAACGTACAAGAACCGCTCCAAACCGTCCCACGAATGGGCATAGCACGAAATATAGCGTCTTACAGATCAAAAAATCGAGTAAGATGTAAAAAAAAGGGTGCAACACGAAAACTTCTCAAGGGGTCACCCATCCTAGTACTGCTCTCGCCCAAGCACGCTTACCTGTAGAATTTTGATGGTATCTGGTGCATTGGTTATGGAATGATCGCACCCGACATCTCCTCCACTTTTTAATTCTTATAAGCCACCTCCTTTCTGTTCTGTTCCGTTCCTTTTCTCCCCGACGCACAGTAGCGCGACTACACTTCCAAGAACCGCCCCAAACCGTCCACCGAATGGTTGCCGCGCGAAATATAACATTTTAAAGACTGAAAGACGCTGGCGCTTGGGCGGAGTGTTAGAAAACCATTAAAAATTAACAAAACTTTAAGCGACCATAACTTTGCGCTCAGTTGTCCGTTTGAGGCAATTTTTTTTTTGAATCTGGGTATTTTTTCGAGATCTACAAATATTAAAACCGCCCACCAAATGGGCCCCGCACAAAAAAATACAGCCTCTTAAAGACCGAAAATTCGGGTCTGACACAAAAAAGGGGTGCAACACGAGGACTTCCCAGGGGGTCACCCATCCTAGTACTACTCTCGCCCAAGCACGCTTAACTGCGGAGTTCTGATGGGATCCGGTGCATTAGTGCTGGTATGATCGCACCCGACATCTCCTCCGCTTTTTATTCTTATAAGTTACCTCCTTTCCGTTCCGTTTCGATCCTTTCCTCCCCGACACACTGTTGCATGATTAAACGTACAAGAACCTCCCCAAATCATCCACCGAATGGGCGCCACACGAAATATAGTGTCTTCAAAATAGCATATTCGGGTCAGATAAAATAAAGGGGTGCAACACGAGGACTTCCTAGGGGGTCACCCATCCTAGTACTACTCTTGCTAAAATACGTTTAACTATAGAGTTTTGAGGGAATCCTGTGCATTAGTGCTGGTATGATTGCACCCAACATCTCCTCCGCTTTTTATTCTTATAAGTCACCTCATTTCCATTCGGTTCTGTTGGTTTTCTCCCCGACACACAGTAACGTGATTAAACGTACAAAAATTGCCCCAAATCGTCATCCGAATTGACACCACACAAAATATAGTGTCTTAAAAATTGAAGATTCAGGTTAGATGCAATAATGGGTCCCGCTCATTATTCATATAACCCTCATTCTTCCCGTTCCATTCTATTCCTTTTCTCCTCGTCATACAGTAGAGTGATTAAACGTACAAGAACCGCTCCAAACCGTCCCACGAATGGGCATAGCACGAAATATAGCGTCTTACAGATCAAAAAATCGAGTAAGATGTAAAAAAAAGGGTGCAACACGAAAACTTCTCAAGGGGTCACCCATCCTAGTACTGCTCTCGCCCAAGCACGCTTACCTGTAGAATTTTGATGGTATCTGGTGCATTGGTTATGGAATGATCGCACCCGACATCTCCTCCACTTTTTAATTCTTATAAGCCACCTCCTTTCTGTTCTGTTCCGTTCCTTTTCTCCCCGACGCACAGTAGCGCGACTACACTTCCAAGAACCGCCCCAAACCGTCCACCGAATGGTTGCCGCGCGAAATATAACATTTTAAAGACTGAAAATTTGGGTTAGACGTAAAAAAGGGGTGCAACACGAGGACTTTCCAGAGGGTCACACATCCTAGTACTACTGTCGCCTAAGCACGCTTACCTGCGACGTTCTGATGGGATTTGGTGCAGTAGTATTGATATGATCACACCCAACATCACCTCAGCTTTTTATTCTTATAAGCCACCTCCTTTCTATTTCGTTCCTTTTCTCCCCGACAAACAGTAGCGCGATTAAACGTGCAAAAATCGCCCCAAACCGTCCACCGAATGGGCGCCACACGAAAATATAGTGTCTTTAAGACCAAAACTTCAGGTCAGACGTAAAGAAAGGTGCAACACAAGGACTTCCCAAGGGGTTACCCATCCTAGTACTACTTCTGATGGGATCCGATGCATTAGTGCTAGTATGATCGCATCCGACATCTCCTCCGCTTTTTATTCTTATAAGTCACCTCCTTTCCATTCCATTCCGTTTTGTTCCTTTTCTCCTTGAGACACAGTAGCGCGATTAAATGTACCAAAACTACCCCAAACCCTCCATCGAATGGGCGCTGCACGAAAATATAGCATCTTAAAGACCAGAAATTCAAGTTAGACGCAAAAAATGGTGTAACACGAGGACTTTTCAGTGGGTCACCCATCCTCGTACTACTCTCACCCAAGTATGCTTAACTGCAGAGTTCTGATGGGATCCATTGCATTAGTGCTAGTATGATCGTACCTAACATCTCCTCCGCTTTTTATTCTTATAAGCCACCTCATTTTCGTTCCATTCCGTTCTATTCCTTTTCTCCTTGACACACAGTAGCGCAGTTAAACGTACAAGAACCGTCCCAAACCGTCATCCGAATGGGTGACAGATGAAAATATAGTGTCTTAAAGACCAAAAATTTGGGTAGGACGAAAAAAAGAGGTGCAACACAAGGACTTCCCAGGAGGTCACCCATCCTAGTAGTACTTTCACCCAAGCACGCTTAACTGCGGAGTTTTGATAGGATTTGGTGCATTAGTGCTGGTATGATCGCACCCTACATGTCCTCCGTTTTTATTCTTATAAGCCAACTCCTTTCCGTTCCATTCCTTTTCTCCTCGACACAAAGTAGTGCGATTAAACGTACAAGAACCACCCTATGCTGTCCACCGAATGGGTGCAGCACCAAAATATAGCATCTTAAAGACCAAAAATTCGGGTCAAACGCAAAAAATGGGTGCAACACGAGAACTTCCCAGGGGGTCACCCATCCTAGTACTACCCTCACCCAAGCACCCTAAACTGCAGGGTTTTGATGGGATCTGGTGCATTTAGTGCTGGTATGATCGAACCTGACATCTCCTCCATTTTTATTCTTATAAGCCATCTCCTTTCCGTTCCATTCTGTTTCGTTCCTTTTCTCCCCGACACACAGTTGTGCAATTAAACGTGCAAAAACCACCACAAACCGTCCACTGAATGGGCGCCGCATGAAAATATAGTGTCTTAAAGACCAAAAATTAAGGTTAGACGCAAAGAAAGGTGCAACACAAGGATTTCCCAGGGGGTCACCCATCATACTACTACTCTCGCCCCAGAACGCTTAATTGCAGAGTTTTGATGGGATCCGGTGCATTAGTGCTGGTTTGATCTCATCTCACATCTTCTCCGTTTTTTATTCTTATACGCCACCTCCTTTTTGTTCCGTTCGTTTTTCTCCCCAACACACAGTAGTGCGATTAAATATACCACAATTACCCTAAATCGTCCACCGAATGGGCGCCGCACGAAAATATAGCGTCTTAATGACCAAAAATTTGGGTCTGACACAAAAAATGGGTGCAACACAAGGACTTTCCTAGGCGGTCACCCATCCTAGTACTACTCTCACCCAAGCACGCTTAACTGCAGAGTTCTGATGGAATTAGGTGCATTAGTGCAAGTAGGATCGTACTTAACATCTCCTCCGCTTTTTATTCTTATAAGCCACCTCCTTTCCGTTCCATTCCGTCCCACTCCTTTTCTCCCCGACACACAGTAGCACAATTAAACGTATAAGAACCGCCCTAAACCGTCATCCGGAAGGGCGCCAGACGAAAATATAGCGTCTTAAAGACCAGAAATTCGGGTTAGACAGAAAAAAGTGGTGAAATACGAGGACTTCCCAGGGGGTCACCCATTCTAGTACTACTCTCCTCCAAGCACACTTAACTGCGGAGTTCTGATAGGATTTGGTGCATTAGTGCGAGTATGATTGCACCCAACTTCTCTTTCATTTTTATTCTTATGAGCCACCATTTTTTCGTTCCATTCTGTTCCGTTCTTTTTCTCCCTGACACACAGTAGTGCGATTAAACGTATAAGAACTACCCTATGCCGTCCACCGAATGGGCGCCGCACAAAAATATAGCGTCGTAAAGACAAAAAATTTGGGTCAAACACAAAAAATGGGTGCAACACGGGGACTTCCCAGGGGTTCACCCATCCTAGTACTACCCTCACCCAAGCATGCTTCACTGTAGAGTTTGGATGGGATCTAGTGCATTAGTGTTGGTACGATCGCACCCGACATCTCCTCCATTTTTATTCTTATAAGCCACCTCCTTTCCGTTCCTTTTCTCCCCGACACACAGTAATGCGATTAAACCTACAAAAATCGCCCCAAATCGTCCACCGAATGGGCGCCGCACGAAAACATAGCGTCTTAAAGACCAAAAATTCAAGTCAGACGCAAAGAAAGGTGCAACACAAGGACTTCCTAGGGGGTCACCCATCCTAGTACTACCCTCGCCCAAGCATGGTTAACTGCAGAGTTTTATTGGGATCTAGTGCAGTAGTGCTGATATGAACTCATCCCACATCTTCTCCACTTTTTATTCTTTTAAGCCAACTCCTTTCTATTCCGTTCTGTTCCTTTCTCCCCGACACATAGTAGCACGATTAAATGTACCCGAACTACCCTAAACCGTCCACCGAATAGGCACCGCACAAAAATATAGCATCTTAAAGACCAGAACTTCTGGTTAAACGGAAAAAATAGGTGCAACATGAGGACTTTTTAGGGGGTCACCCTTCCTAGTACTACTCTCGCCCAAACATGCTTAACTGTGGTGTTCTGATGGGATCCGGTGCGTTAGTGCAAGTACGATCGTACCTGACATCTTCTCCGCTTTTTTTTTTCTTATAAGGCACCTCTTTTCCGTTCTATTTTGTTTCTCCTCGACACACAGTAACGCAATTAAACGTACAAGAACCGCCATAAATCGTTATCCGAATGGGCGCCAGATGAAAATATAGCGTCTTAAAGACCAAAAATTTGGGTTAGATGCAAAAAAGGGGTGCAACACGAGGACTTCCCAGGGGTTCACCCATCCTTGTACTACTCTCGCCCAAGCACATTTAACTGCAGAGTTCTGATAGGATCTGGTGCAATAGTGCTGGTATGATCGCACCCGACATCTCCTCCATTTTTATTTTGATAAGCCACCTCCTTTTCGTTCCATTTTGTTTCGTTCCTTTTCTCCTCGACACACTGTAGTGTGATTAAACGTACAGGAACCACCCTATGTCTTCCACAGAATGGGCGCAACACAAAAATATAGCGTCTTAAAGATCGAAAATTTGGGTCAGACACAAAAAATGGGTGCAACATGAGGACTTCCCAAGGGGTCTCCCATCCTAGTACTACCCTCGCCAAGCACGCTTAATTGCGGAGTTATGACAGGATCTGGTGCATTAGTGCTAGTGATCGCACCCAACATCTCTTCCACTTTTTATTCTTATAAGCCACCTCCTTTTCGTTTTGTTTCGTTGCTCCCCGACACATAGAAACGCGATTAAACGTACAAGAATCACCCCAAACCGTCCACTGAATGGGCGCCGCACGAAAATATAGCGTCTTAAAGGCTGGAAATTTGGGTTAGAAGGAAAAAATGGGTGCAATACGTGGACTTCCCAGGAGTCACCCATCCTAGTACTACTCTTGCGCAAGCACACTTAACAGTGGAGTTTTGATGGGATCTGGTGCATTAGTGTTGTTATGATCATACCTGACATCTCTCCCACTTTTTATTCCTATAAGCCACCTTCTTTCCATTCCGTTCCTTTTTTCCTTGACACATAGTAGCGCGATTAAACGTACAAGAACCGCCCAAAACTGTCCACCGAATGGGTGCCGCACAAAATATAGCGTCTTAAGGACTGAAAATTCGAGTCAGACACATAGAAGTAGTGCAACATGAGGACTTCCTAGGGGGTCATTCATCCTGGTACTGCTCTCGCCCAAGCACGATTAATTACGGTGTTCTGATAGGATCTAGTGCATTAGTGGTAGTATGATCGCACCTCACATCTCCTCCTGTTTTTATTTTTATAAGCCACCACCTTTACGTTCTGCTCCTTTTTTCCTCGACACATAGTAGCTGGATTAAACGTACAAGAATCGCCCCTGATGGTCCAAAAAATTTGGGTCTGATACAAAGAATGGGTGCAGCACGATGACTTCCTAGGGGGGTCATACATCCTAGTATTGCGCTTTCCCAAGCACTTTTAACTGCAGAGTTCTGATGAGATCCTGTGCAATAGTGCTGGTATGATTGCACTCGACATCTCCTCCACTTTTTATTCGTATAAGCCACCTCCTTACCGTTCTGTTCCTTTTCCCTCGACACACAGTAGCGTAATTAAACATACAAGAACCGCCCCAAACCATCCACTGAATGGGTGTCGCACGAAATATAGCATCTTAATGACCGAAAATTTGGGTCAGACAGAAAAAAGGGGTGCAACATGAAGACTTCCCAGGGGTCACCTTTCCTAGTACTACTCTCGCCCATGTACGATTAATTGTGGAGTTCTCGTGGGATCCGGTGTATTAGTGCTGATATGATCGCATCCCACATCTCCACCGCTTTTTGTTCTTACAAGCCACCTCTTTTGCGATCCGTTCCATTCCTTTTCTCCCCGACACAGAGTAGCGAGATTAAACGTACAAGAACCGCCCCTAACCATCCACCGAATGGGTGCCGTACGAAATATAACATCTTTAAGATCAAAAATTCAGGTTAGACGCAAAAAACGGGTGCAACACAAGAAATTCACAAGGGGTCACCCGTCCTAGTATTACCCTCGCCCAAGCATGCTTAAGTGCGGAGTTCTGACGGGATCCGGTGCATTAGTTCTGGTATGATCGCAGCCGACATCTCCTCCACTTTTTATTCGTATAAGCCACCTCCTTTTCGTTCCGTTCCTTTTCTCCTTGAGACACAGTAGCGTAATTAAACGTACAAGAACCGCCCCAAACCATCCACTGAATGGGTGTCGCACAAAATATAGCATCATAATGACCAATAATTTGGGTCAAACACAAAAGGGGTGCAAGATGAAGACTTCAAAAGGGTCACCCATCCTATTACTACTCTCGCCTATGCACACTTAACTGTGGGGTTCTGATGGGATCCGGTGCATTAGTGCTGGTATCATCACATCTCATATCTCATCCGCTTTTTATTCTTATAAGTCACCTGCTTTTTCGTTCCATTCCTTTTCTCCCCGACACACAGTTACGACATTAAACATACAACAACTGTCTGTAACCGTCCACCAAATGGCGGCCATACAAAATATAGCATTTTTAAGATTGAAAATTCAGGTCAGATGCAAAAAAGGGGTGCAACACGAGTACTTCCTAGTGTCCACCCAACCTAGTGCTACTCTCCAACAAGCATGCTTAACTGCAGAGTTCTGATGGGATCCGGTGCATTAGTGCTGGTCTGATCGCATCTGACATCTCCTCTGCTTTTTATTCTTATAAGCCACCGCCATTCCGTTTCATTCCGTTCCATTCTATTTTTCCCCGACACACAGTAACGCGATTAAACGTTCAAGAACTGCCCTAAACCGTCATCCGAATGGGCGCCAGACAAAAATTTAGCGTCTTAAAAATCAGAAATTTAGGTCAGACACACAAAAAGGGTGCAACATAAGGAATTCTCACGGGGTCACCCATCTTAGTACTACCCTTGCCCAAGCATGCTTAATTGCGGAGTTCTGATGGGATCCGGTGCATTAGTGGTAGTATGATTGCATCTGACATCTCCGCTGCTTTTTATTCTTATAAGCCACCTCCTTTCAGTTTCGTTCCTTTCCTCCTCGACACACAATAGTGCGATTAAACGTTGCAAAACTACCCCAAATCGTCCACCGAATGGGCACCCCATGAAAATATAGCGTCTTAAAGACTAAAAATTCGGGTTATACATAAAAAATGGGTGCAACACGAGGACTTTTCAGGGGGTCACCCATCCAAGTACAGCTCTCGCTCAAGCACGCTTAACTGCAGAGTTCTAATGGGATTTGGTGCATTAGTGTTGGTATGATCGCACCCGAAATCTCCTCCGCTTTTTATATTTATAAGCCACCTCCTTTTTGTTTCATTCTATTCCATTCCTTTTCTCCCTGACACACAGTAGCACGATTAAACGTAAAAGAACCGACCTAAGCCATTGACCGAATGGGCGCCATACAAAAATATAGCATCCTAACGATCAAAAATTCAGGTCAGGCGCAAAAAATGGGTGGAACACAAGGCCTTCCCAGGGGGTCACCCATCCTAGTACTACTCTCCCCCAAGCATGCTTAACTGTGGAGTTCTAATGGGATACAGTGGATTACTGCTGGTATGATCGCACCTGACATCTCCTCCGTTTTTTATTCTTATAAGCCAACTCTTTTTCGTTATGTTCCGTTCCATTCTGTTATGTTCTATTCTGTTCCATTCTTTTTCCCCCCGACACATAATAACGCGATTAAATGTACAAGAACTGCCCCAAACCGTCCATCGAATGGGCGCTGCACCAAAATATAGCTTCTTAAAGACCAAAAATTTGGGTCAGACACAAAAAGGGGTGAAACACAAGGACTTCACAGAGGGTCACCCATCCTAGTACTACTCTCGCCCAAGCACGGTTAACTGTGGAGTTCTGATGGGATCCGGTGCATTATTGCTGGTATGATCGCAATCGACATCTCCTCCATTTTTTATTTTTATAAGCCACCTCCTTTCTGTTCCGTTCCGTTCCATAACTTTTCTCCCTGACACACAGTTGCGCGATTAAACGTACCAGAACTACCCTAAACCGTCCACCGAATGGGTGCCGCATGAAAATATAACGTCTTAATGACCAAAAATTCTGGTCAAACACAAAAAAGGGGTGCAACACGAGGACTTCCCAGGGGGTCACCCACCCTAGTACTGCCCTCATCCAAACATGTTTAACTGCAGAGTTATGATGGGATCCGGTGCATTAGCGCTGGTATGATTAGATCCCACATTTCCTCTACTTTTTATTCATATAAGCCACCTCCTTTTTATTCCGTTCCTTTTTTCCCCGACACACAGTTGCGACATTAAACGTACAAGAACCGCCTGTAATCGTCCACCGAATGGGCGCCATATGAAATATAGCTTTTTTAAGATCAAAAATTCAGGTCAGATGCAAAAAGGGGTGCAACACGAGTACTTCCTAGTGGACACCCAACCTAGTACTACTCTTGCACAAGCTTGCTTAACTGCAGAGTTCTCATGGGATCTGGTGCATAAGTGCTGGTCTGATCGCACCCGAACATCTCCTCTGTTTTTTGTTCTAATAAGCCACCTCCATTCCGTTCCATTCTTTTTATCGCCGAAAAATAGTAGCACAATTAAACGTACAAGAACTGCCCCAAACCATCATCCGAATGGGCACCGGACAAAAATTTAGCATCTTAAAGACTGGAAATTCTGGTTAGACGCAAAAAAAGGGTGCAACATAAGGAATTCCCAGGAGGTCACCCATCCTAGCACTACCCTTGTCCAAGCACGCTTAATTGCGAAGTTCTAATAGGATCCGGTGCATTAGTGCTTGTATGATTGCATCCAACATCTCCTCCGCTTTTTACTCTTATAAGGCACCTCCTTTCAGTTCCATTCCTTTCCGTTCGTTTCCTCCCCGACACACAGTAACGCTATTAAACGTACCAAAACTACCGCAAATCGTCCACCGAATGGGCGCCGCATGAAAGTATAATTTCTTAAAGAGCGAAAATTCAGGTCAGACGCTAAAAATGGGTACAACACGATGACTTTCCAGGGGGTTACCTATCCTAGTACTGCTCTTGCCCAAGTATGCTTAACTGTGGAGTTCTGATGGGATCCGGTGCATTAGTGTTGGTATGATCGCACCAAACATCTCTTCCGCTTTTTATTCTTATAAGCCACCTCCTTTCTGTTGTATTCCGTTATGTTCCTTTTCTCCCCGACACACAGTGGCACGATTAAACGTACAAGAACCGCTCTAAGCTTTCCACCGAATGAGCGCCGCACAAAAATATAACATCTGAAAGATCAAAAATTCAGGTCAGACGCAAAAAATGGGTGCAATATGAGGACTTCCAAGGGGGTCTCCCATCCTAGTACTACTTTCGCCCAAGCACGCTTAACTGCGGAGTTCTAATGGGATCTGGTGCATTAGTGCTGGTATGATCGCACCTGACATCTCCTCCACTTTTTATTCTTATAAGTTACCTCNTTAACTGCGGAGTTCTAATGGGATCTGGTGCATTAGTGCTGGTATGATCGCACCTGACATCTCCTCCACTTTTTATTCTTATAAGCCACCTCTTTTCCGTTCCGTTTCGTTCCATTCCATTCCTTTCCGTTCCATTCCTTTTCTCCCCGACACACAGCAGCGCGATTAAACGTACAAGAACCACCCCAAATCGTCCACTGAATGGGTACTGCACAAAAATATAGCGTCTTAAAGACCAAAAATTTGGGTCAGACACAAAAAAGGGGTGGAACACGAAGACTTCATAGAGAGTCACCCATCCTAGTGTTACTCTCGCCCAAGCACGCTTAACTGTGGAGTTCTGATGGGATCCGACATATTAATGCTGGTATGATCGCACCCGACATCTCCTCCGCTTATTTATTCTTATAACCCACCTTCTTTCCATTCAATTTCTTTTCTCTATGACACATAGTAACGCGATTAAACGTACAAGAACCGGCCCACACCATCCAGCATCGATCTCTGAGAGGCGAAAAGAAAGTGAGTTGATTTGGCATACTCAAGAGGAGTTCTCCCTTGAATTTGCTAACTTAAAATCTAGCTACTCATGCTAAAGGGAAGGACATACATGATGTAAAGAGACATGGTGTTGAAATGAAGATTAAAACTTAACTCAATGCAATAAATCGTAAACTGATGAGTGAGTTTAATACCTACGAATTGAATATTTTCAGTTTGATAAAATTGTAAGTTTTCAATTATTTTATGTTATTTTTTATTTATTTTGTGTGTTTTGATGTTATTTCATAGGGATGATAGTTTGAAGGGAATCATTATCATTTGGGAGGAGACAAAGTTAATTTAGAGCCTGAAGGTTAGATTTTTGGAAGAGGAAGCTAAAGGGCATTTTAGGCCTGAAAGGGGGAGCGTCCCCCAGCACCAATTTGGGCACCCCAGCACCCACATACTGCCCAATTGGCACCCCTGCACTGATTTTTGGCGCCCCCGCACTTGTGTTGGCCTGTGACGCAAATTTTTCCTTGTTTTGACACGAAATTGTACTCTAAAGCTACATATAAGCTAGGGTTTGAGTTGGGATGAAATATTCTGACTTTTGGGGCCTGAAAATAACTGAAAAGACCAAGGAATTGGAAGAAAATGGAAGACAAGAATCGAAGGAATCGATATGAAGAATATTGGTCTTGAAGGCTAGAGAAGGATTGAAGATTGCACCTAAGTTTTCATTCTCTTCTCTTACTTTTATTTCTTGATTTTCTAAGATGTTGTTTAATTTTAGAATGATGTTTTTCAATTACGTTATGAACTAAATTCTTATTAAGATTGCAACGGAAACTAATGTCTAGTTAAATTTATCTACTCTCGTTTCTAGTTCTATTGATCATACATAAGTTGTTTGTCATATTTTGTGTTTAATATATGATTGTGTGACTACCAATCAATTTGATAACCTAGATGAAATTGAAAGATGAATTCTAGGTTTATATCTGAATATGATGACATACGTCTGGTTAATTCTTCTTAGGATTGAATAGCTGGGTTTGTGTATAGGATAGGAATATACCTATATGTCATGTATAACTTTCGTGAGACTTTGAACTTAATGAATCTATTCTAAATTATTATGCATTGGAATATAGTAATTTATTGGGAGAGATAATTTTATCTAACTATCGGAAGAGGTTTGATAAATACTTTGAATTCTCAGTTAACAACTTATTTTGATCAATTAACTGGAAAGAGAGTTGGAAAGGTTTATATGAAGCATTATGGGAAGTTGTAATCTTAACTTCTTTTGTCCAGTAAATTCAACCCTTAAATATTAAGTTTAGATTTAATTTTAAATTAGTAATTCCATAGTCTAATTCCAATTGTTTAAATATAATTGAATTGATATAAAGTTAGTACTTGGAAGTTATTACTAATAATTTTCCGTGGGAACGATACTCGACTTATTACTTTATTACTTGTTGATCGTGTATACTTGCACGTAAATTGTCAATATCAAATTCGGACAACATAAACTATGAAGGAAAATGTGCAATACCAATTTTAAAGCTTGCAAATGAAGAACTTGAAAGTTTTAATGGTAGAAACTAGAACATGTAACTAAACTTGTAATATACTTGAAATAAATGAGATTAAAGTGCAAGAGTTAAGGATTACAAGAGATTTAAAGCTTACTACAACTGAAATGGAGAAGAAAATGCAAAAATCTAGGCTTTTCTATCTACTATTCATCATCTTCTTCCTTGGACTACTCCTAAGCTTAGGTAGCCACCCTTGAAATGCTTGTGGAATGCTGAATATATGGTGAAGAGCTTTGCATTTTCGTCTATAAGGGTCCTCTAGCATGTGTGTGCAGGCCTCCCATCAATAGGAGGTGAGTGGATGGCTTTGGACTGGCTAGGACAAGCATAACTTGCACCCATTATGACTGCCCCCTTCTCTCCCATCCCCATTAATGTCATTGCCTCCAAAGTCTTCAACTAGGGTGTAGGAGGCATGTAAATGTGTAAGGGATGTCAAGGGTCAAGTGGGAGAATTAATGGTGGGACCCCTAAGCAAATGGAGCATCAGTTGCAAGCATTCTGGGCATTTTGGAAAACCTACCAGTAGGTTTTTAGCATTCTACCGGTAGGTTTTGGTTACTAGAGTTCGACCTACCAGTAGGCCATACCGGTAGGTTGCCTGCACTAGACCAGTTTTCATAGAATTGTCCTAAACTTTGATCCAACCGTCCGATTGAGCTGAAACGTTGACAGAATATAGAAGACATCCAGATCTAGAACTTTTATGTTTTGCACTTTGTCCGATTCAAAGTGGATCATGGTCAACAAGGAGAAAAACTGAGGTACTGCAACCAAATGGTGCGGGTGCTGGTGCCTATGTTACCAAGCACTGATACCTCTTTGATTGCTTTCACTTTTAAGCCTCCAAATCCTCAAGTAATGTGTCCATGTCTTCACTACACATCCACATTTAGTTGCAAGGTTCTAAAATCCATCATTTAAGCTATAATTACCTGTAAACACAAGAATCCAATATTATTCGTAAATTCGATTAACTCTAAGTAATTAAATACAAAGTTAAGTTAAAATGCATGCAATGAGGCCGTCAAATATGCAATATTATCTGCTCATCACCCATTCTTGTACTACTCTCGCCCAAGCACGCTTAATTACGGAGTTTTTATGGGATACGGTGCATTAGTGCAGATACGATCACACCAGACATCTCCTCTATTTTTTATTCTTATAAGCCACCTCCTTTCCATTCTAATCCGTTCCTTTTCTCCCTGACACACAGTAGCGTGAATAAACACACAAGAACTGCCCCAAATCGTCCACCAAATGCACGCTACATGAAGTTTAGTGTCTTAAAGATTGAAGATTCTGGTCAAATGCAAAAAAGGGGTGCAACACGAGGACTTCCCATGGGTTCATCCATTCTAGTACTACTCTTGCCCAAGCACGCTTAATTGTGGAGTTCTGATGGGATCCGGTATATTGGTGCTAGTATGATAGCACCCGACATCACCTCCACCTTTTATTCTTATAAGCCACCTTATTTTCGTGCCGTTCCTTTTCTCCTCGACACATAGTAGCACGATTAAACTTACAAGAACCACCCCTAACCGTCCACCGAATAGGTGCCACATGAAATATAGCCTCTTAAAAAGACAAGAAATTTGGGTTGGATGCAAAAAAAGGGTATAACAATAATCCTTCCTTGGGGGTCAACCATCTTAGCACTACTCTCGCCCAAGTACGCTTAACTGCGGAGTTCTGATGCGATCTGATGCATTAGTGCTAGTATGATCACTTCTGACATCTTCTCTGCATATTATTCTAATAAGCCACCTTCCTCCCATTCCATTCTGTTCCTTTTCTCCCTGACACATAGTAGAGCGATTAAACGTACAAGAACCGTCCAAAACTATTTACCGAATGGGCGTAGCCCAAAATAAAGAGTCTTAAAGACCAGAAATTCAGGTAAGACACAAAAATGGGGTGCAACGTGAGGATATCCCAATACTCTTTACTACAGAATTCTGATGGGAGCTGGTGCATTGGTTATGGTATGGTCGCACTCGACATCTCCTTTCCGTTCCGTTTCATTCTGTTCTATTCATTTTCTCCTTGACACACAGTAGCGCGATTAAACGTACAAGAACCACCTCAAATCGTCCACCGAATGGGCGCCGCACGAAATATAGCGCCTTAAAGACCAAAAATTCAGGCCAGGCGCAAAAAAAGGGTGCAACACAAGGGTTTCCCAGGGGTCACCCATCCTAGTACTACTCTCACCCAAACACGCTTAACTACGAAGTTCTTATGCCATCCAGTGCATTAGTGCTAGTATGATCGCATCCCACATCTCATCCGTTTTTTATTCTTATAAGCCACCCCTTTTCCGTTCCGTTCCTTTTCTCCCCGACACATAGTAGCACGATTAAACGTACGAGAACCGTTCCGAACCATCCACCGAATTGGTGCCCCGTGAAATATAACATATTAAAGAACAAAAATTTGGGTCAGACGTAAAAAAGGGGTGCAACACGAGGACTTTCCAGGGGTTCACCCATCCTAGTACTACTCTCACCTAAGCACGCTTAACTGCAGAGTTCTGATGGGTTCCGGTGCATCAGTGTTGATATGATCGCACCCAACATCTCCTCTGCTTTTTATTCTTATAAGCCACTTCTTTCCCATTTTGTTTCTTTTCTCCCCGACACACAGTAGCGCGATGAAACATACAAGAACTGCCCCAAACCGTACACCAAATGGGTGCCGCACAAAATATAGCGTTTTAAAGACTGAAAATTTGGGTCAGATGTAAAAAAAGGGTGCAACACAAGGACTTCCCAGGAAATCACCCATCCGAGTACTACTCTTACCTAAGCTCGCTTAACTACGGAGTTCTGATGGGATTCGGTGCATTAGTGCTAGTATGATCGCACTCGACATCTCCTTCGCTTTTTATTCTTATAAGCCACCTTGTTTTCGTTCAGTTTCGTTCCTTTTCTCCCGGATACACAGTAGCGTGATTAAACGCACAAGAACCGCCCCAAATTGTCCACCGATCGGGTGCCACACTAAATTTAGTGTCTTAAAGACTGAATATTAAGGTAAGACGCAAAAAAGTGGTGCAACACGAGGACTTCCCAGAGGGTTACCCATCTTAGTACTACATTTTCCCATGCATGCTTAACAGCGAAGTTCTGATGGAATCTGCTACATTAGTGCTGGTATGATCACACTCGACATCACCTCCAGTTTTTATTCTTATAAGCCACCTCTTTTCGCTTCCATTTCATTTCTCCTTGACACACAGTAGCGCGATTACAAGAACCGCCCCCAACCATCCAACGAATGGGCGCCGCACGAAATATAGCGTGTTAAAGACCAGAAATTCAGGTCGGATGCAAAAAAGGGGTGTAACACGAGCACTTCACAGAGGGTCCTCCATCCTAGTACTACACTCGCCTAAGCACGTGTAACTGCATAGCTCTGATGGGATCCAGTGCATTAGGGCTGGTATGATCACTTTCGACATCTCCTCCACTTATTATTGTTATAAGCCACCTTCTTCTCGTTTCGTTCTGTTCCTTTTCTCTCCGACACAAAGTAGAGTGATTAAACGTACAATGATCGCCCCAAACCGTCCACTGAATGGTCGGAGCACGAAATATAGGGTCTTAAAGATCAAAAATTTGGGTAAGACGCAAAATGGGATGCAACACAAGGACTTACCAGGGGGTCACACATCCTAGTACTACTCTTGTCCAAGCACGCTTAACTGTGGAGTTCTGATGAAATCCGGTATATTAGTGCTGGTATGATCGCACCTGACATCCCCTCCATTTTTTATTCATAGAAGCCACCTCCTTTCCGTTCCGTTGCTTTTCTCCTAGACACACAGTAGTGCGATTAAACATACAAGAACTGTCCTAAACCGTCCACCAAATGGCCGCTGCATGAAATGTAGCGTCTTAAAGATCAAAAATTTGGGTCACACAAAAAAATGGGTTCAGCACGAGGAATTCCCAGGGTGTCATCCCTCCTAGTACTACTCTCGCCAAACACATTTAACTGCGGAGTTCTGATGGGATCCAGTGCATTAGTGCTGGTATGATCGCACCCGACATCACCTCTGCTTTTTATTGTTATAAGCCACCCCTTTACATTCTGTTCCTTTTCTCTCTGACACACAGTAGCACGATTAAACGTACAAGAACCGCCCCAAATCATCAACCGAATGGGCGCTGCATGAAATATAGAGTCCTAAAGACCATAAATTCGGGTCAGAAACAAAAAAGGGGTCTAACATGAGGACTTCCTAGGGAGTCACCCATTCTAGTACTACTCTTGCCCAAGCACGCTTAACTACGGAGTTCTGATAGGATCCGGTGCAATAGTGCTGGTATGATCGCACCCGACATCACCTCCGCATTTTATTCTTATAAGCCACCCCCTTTACGTTTTGTTCCTTTTCTCCCCGACATATAGTAGCACAATTAAACGTTCAAGAACTGCCCCAAATTGTCAATCGAATGGGCGTTACATGAAATATAGAGTCTTAAGGAACGAAAATTTGGGTTAGATGCAATAAAGGGGTGCAACACGCGGACTTCCCAGGGGATCACCTATCCTAGTACTACACTTGCCTAAGCACACTTAATTGCAAAATTCTGATGGGATCTGGTGCATTAGTGCTGGTATGATCGCACCCGACATCTCCTCTGCTTTTTATTCTTATAAGCCACCTCCTTTTCGTTCCGTTCCCTTCCTTTTATCCCCGACACATAGTAGCTTGATTAAACACACAAGAACTGCCCCAAACCGTTCAGCGAATGGGCAGAGCACGAAATATAACGTCTTAAGGACAGAAAGTTTGGGTAAGATGCAAAAAGGGGTGCAACACAAGGACTTTCCAGGGGGTCACCCATCCTAGTACTACTCTCGCCCAAGCACGCTTAACTGCAGAATTCTGATGAGATTCGGTGCATTGGTTCTGATATGGTCGCACTCGGCATCTCTTATGTTTTTTATTCTAATAAGCCACCTCCTTTCCGCTCTATTCCGTTCCATTTCTCCCTGACACACAGTAGCACGATTACATATCCAAGAACCGCCCCAAACTGTCCACCGAATGGGCATCACACAAAATATAGCGTCTCAAAGTCTGAAAATTTGGGTCAGATTTTATTCGTATATGCCACCTCGTTTTCGTTCCATTCCGTTTCTCCCTGAAACATAGTAGCGTGATTAAACATACAAGAACAGCCCCAAACCTTCCACCGAATGGATGATGCACGAAATATAGTGTCTTAAAGACAAAAAATTTAGGTCAGATGGAAAAAAGGGGTGCAACACGAGGACTTTCCAGGGAGTCACCCATTATATTACTACTTTCACCCAAGCACACTTAACTGCGGAGTTCTGATGGGATCCGGTACATTAGTGCTGGTATGATCACACCTGACATCACCTCTGCTTTTTATTCTTAGAAGCCACATCTTTTCCATTCCGTTGCTTTTCTCCTCGAGACACAGTAGCGCGATTAAACGTACAAGAATTGCCCTAAATTGTCCATCGAATGGTTGCCGCACGAAATATAGCGTCTTAAAGACCAAAAATTTGGGTCAGACAAAAAAAATGGGTGCAGCACGAGGACTTCTCAGGGTGTCATCAATACAAGTACTACTCTCGCCCAAACAAATTTAGCTGCGGAGTTCTGATGGGATCCGGTGCATTAGTGCTGGCATGATCGCACTCGACATCACCTCCGCTTTTTATTCTTATAAGCCACCCCCTTTACGTTCTGTTCCTTTTCTCCCCAACATATAGTAGCACAGTTAAATGAAGAACTGCCCCAAATTGTCAACTGAGTCGGCGTTGCATGAAATATAGAGTCTTAAGGAACGAAAATTTGGGTTAGACGCAATAAAGGGGTGCAACACGCGGACTTCCCAGGGGATCCACCCATCCTAGTACTACACTTGCCTAAGCACGCTTAATTGCGAAATTCAGATGGGATTTGGTGCATTAGTGCTGGTATGATCGCACCCGACATCTCCTCCGCTTTTTATTCTTATAGGCCACCTTCTTTCCATTCCATTTCTTTTCTCACCGACATACATTAGCGTGATGAAATATATAAGAACCGCCCCAACTGGTCCAGCAAATGGGCGCCGCACGAAATATAACATCTTAAAAACTGGAAATTTGGGTCAGACGCAAAAAAGGGGTGCAACACAAAGACTTCCCTTGGAGACTTCCATCCTAGTACTATTCTTGCCCAAGCACGCTTAACTGCGGAGTTCTGATGGGATCTGGTGCTTTAGTGCTTGTATGATCGCACCCGACATCACCTCCACTTTTTATTCTTATAAGCCACCTCCATTCTGTTCCGTTCCATTTCGTTCCTTTTCTCCTCGACTCACAGTAGCGCGATTAAATGTACAGGAACCGCCCCAAACTGTCCACCGAATGGACGTCGCACGAAATATAGCGTTTTCAAGACAAATTTAGGTCAGGTGCAAAAAAGGTTGTGCAACACAAGGACTTGCCAAGGGTTATCCATCCTAGAACTACTCACGCCCAAGCATGCTTAACTAGAGAGTTTTGATGGAATCCGGTGCATTAGTGCTGGTATGATCGAACCCGACAACTTCTTTGCTTTTCATTCTTATAATCCACCTCCTTTCCGTTCAGTTCCATTCTTTTTCTTCCCAACACATAGTAGCGTGATAAAATGTACAAGAACCGCCCCAACCTTGCACCGAATTGGAGCTGCACAAAAATATAGCGTCTTAAAACTAAAAGTTTAGGTCAGACGCAAAAAAGGGGTGCACCACGAAGACTTTTGAGGAGGTCAACCATCCCAGTATTACTCTTGCCCAAGCACGCTTAACTGTAGAGTTCTGATGGGATCCAGTGTATTAGTGCTGGTATGATCGTACGTGACATCTCCTCCATTTTTTATTCTTATAAGCCACCTCCTTTTCGTTCCATTCTGTTCAGTTCCTTTTCTCCCCGAAACACAGTAGCTCGGTTAAACGTACAAGAACCGTCCCAAACCGTTTACCGAATGGGCGCAACACGAAATATAGCGTCTTAAAGATCGAAAATTTGGGTCAGACGCAAAAAAGGGGTGCAACACGAGGACTTCCCAAGGGGTTACCCATCCTAGTACTACTCCCGCCCAAGCACGCTTAACTGTATTGTTCTGATGGGATCTAGTGCATTAGTGCTGGTATGATCGCACCCGGCATCTCCTCCATTTTTTATTCTTATAAGCCATTTCCTTTTCGTTCTGTTTCATTCCTTTTCTCCCCAACTCACTGTAGCGCGATCAAACATACCAGAACCGCCCCAAATCGGTAACCGAATGGGCGCCGCACGAAAATATAGCATCTAAAATACTAAAAATTTGGGTTAAATACAAAAAAGGGGTATAACATGAGGACTTTCCAAGGGGTCATCCATCCTAGTACTACTCTCGCCCCAGCAGGCTTAACTGCGGAGTTCTGATGGGAACCGGTGCATTAGTGTTGGTATGATCACACTTGACATCTCCACTGTTTTATATTCTTATAAGCCACCTCCTTTCCATTCCGTTTTGTTCCATTTCTCCCCGACACACAGTAGCACGATTAAACGCACAAGAACCAGCCCGAACCGTCCACCAAATGGGCACCGCACGAAAATATAGCATCTTAAAGACCAGAAATTCGGGTCAGACGCAAAAAAGGGGTGTAACACAAGGACTTCCCAAGGATCACCCATCCTAGTACTACTCTCACGCAAGCACGCTTAACTGCGGTATTTTGATGGGATCCGGTGCACTAGTGCTGGTATGATCGCACCCAACATCTCCTCTGCTATTTATTCTTTTAAGCCATCTCCTATCCATTCCATTTAGTTATTTTTCTCCTCGACACATAGTAGTGCAATTAAACGTACAAGAACCGCTACAAACCATCCACTGAATGGATGCTGCACGAAAATATAGCGTCTTAAAGACCGAAAATTTGGGTCAGATGCAAAAAAGGGGTACAACACAAGAACTTCATAGGGTGTCACCCATCCTAGTACTACTTTTGCCCAAGCACTCTAAATTGCTGAGTTCTGATGGGATCCGGTGCATTAGTACTGGTATGATCGCACTCGACATCTCCTTCACTTTTTATTCTTATAAGCCACCTTCTTTCCATTTCGTTCCATTCTCATTCGTTCCTTTTCTCCCTGGCACACACTAGCGCGATTAAACGTACAAGAACTGCCCCAAACCGTCCATTGAATGGGTGCTGCACGAAAATATAATGTCTTAAAAACCAAAAATTTGGGTCTGATGCAAAAAAGGGGTGCAATACAATGACCGCACAGGGGGTCACCCATCCTAATAATACTCTTGCCCAAGGACTGTTCACTGTTGAGTTCTGATGGGATATGGTGCATTAGTGCTGGTATGATCGTACTTGACATCTCCACCGCTTTTTATTCTAATTAGCCACCTCCTTTCCATTCCATTTCGTTCCTTTTCTCGTTGACACACAGTAGCATGATTAAATGTACAAGAAGCGCCCCAAATCGTACACCAAATGGGCGCGACAGAAAAATATAGCGTCTTAAAGACCCAAAATTTGGGTTAGACGCAAAAAAAGGGTGCAACACGAGGACTTCCCGGGGGGTCACCCATCTAGTACTACTCTCACCCAAGCATGCTTAATTGCGGAGTTCTGATAGGATCCAGTGCATTAGTACTAGTATGATGGCACGCAAAATCTTTTTCGCTTTTTATTCTTATAAGCCACCTATTATCCGTTCCGCTCTGTTCCTTTTCTCCCCGACACACAGTAGAGCGATTAAACGTACAAGAACCGCCCCAAATCATCCACTGAATGGGCAACGCACAAAAATATATGGTCTTATAGACCAAAAATTTGGGTCAGATGCAAAAAAGGGGTGCAACACGAGGACTTCACAAGGGGTCACCCATTTTAGTACTACTCTCGCCCAAGCACTCTTAATTGCTGAGTTCTAATGGGATCCGGTGCATTAGTGCTGGTATGATCGCATTGGACATCTCCTCCACTTTTTGTGCTTATAAGCCACCTCCTTTCCGTTATGTTTCATTCTGTTCCATTCATTTTCTCCCCGACACATAGTAGCGCGATTAAACGTACAAGAACTGACCAAATCGTCCACCGAATGGGCGCCACTCAAAAATATAGCGTCTTAAAGACCATAAATTCTGGTCAGAAGCAAAAAAGGGGTGCAAAACGTGGACTTCATAGGGGTTCACCCATCCTAGAACTATTCTCGCCCAATAATTGTTACCTTTTGAGTTCTGATGGGATACGGTGCATTAGTTCTGGTATGATCACATACAACATCTAATCCACTTTTTATTCTAATAAGCCACATCCGTTCCGTTCCATTTTGTTCGGTTCTGTTTTGTTTCTTGTTGACACTGAGTAACACGATTTAACGTACCAGAACCGCCACAAACCGTCGACCAAATGGGCGCCGCACAAAAATATAGCGTCTTAAAGACCGAAAATACGGGTTGCACGCAAAAGAGGGGTGTAACACGAGGACTTCCTGGGAGGTGACCTATCCTAGTACTACTCTCGCCCAAGCACGCTTAACTGCAAAGTTTTGATGGGATCCGGTGCATTGGTACTGGTATGATCGCAAATGAAATCTTCTTCACTTTTTATTCTTATAAGCCACCTCTTTTCCATTCCGTTCTGTTCCTTTTCTACCCCATGCACAGTAGCGCGATTAACCGCACAAGAACCACCCCAAATCGTCCATCGAATGGGCACTGCACGAAAATATAGCGTCTTAAAAATCAAAAATTTGGGTCAGATGCAAAAAAAGGGGGGCAACACGAGTACTTCCCAGGTGGTTACCCATCCAAGTACTACTCTCGCCTAAGCACGCTTAAATGCGGTATTCTGATGGGATCTGGTGCATTAGTGCTGGTATGATTGCACCCGACATCGCCTCCGCTTTTTATTCCCATAAGCCACCTCTTTTCAGTTCTGTTCCGTTCCATTCCATTCCATTCATTTTCTCCCCGACACACAGAAACGCGATTAAATGTATAAGAATCGCCCCAAACCGTCCTTTGAATGGGCGCCGCACGAAAAAATAGCTTCTTAAAGAATAAAATTCGGGTCAGACACAAAAAAGGGGTGCAACACGAGGACTACCTAGGGGGTCACTTATCTTAGTACTACTCTTGGCCAAGCACGCTTAACTGTAGAGTTCTGATGGGATCCGGTGCATTAGTGCTGGTATGATCGCACCCGACATCTCCTCCGCTTTTTATTCTTATAAGTTACCTCCTTTCCGTTCCGTTCCGCTCCCCTCCATTCCGTTCCGCTCCCCTCCACTCCGTTCCTCCCCGACACATAGTATCGCGATTAAACGTACAAGAACCGCCCCAAACCGTCCACCGAATGGGCCCTGGCCCTGGCACCATTGGGCATGGCCGTTGGGACGCTGGCGCTTGGGCGGAGTGTTAGAAAACCATTAAAAATTAACAAAACTTTAAGCGACCATAACTTTGCGCTCAGTTGTCCGTTTGAGGCAATTTTTTTTTTGAATCTGGGTATTTTTTCGAGATCTACAAATATTAAAACCGCCCACCAAATGGGCCCCGCACAAAAAAATACAGCCTCTTAAAGACCGAAAATTCGGGTCTGACACAAAAAAGGGGTGCAACACGAGGACTACCTAGGGGGTCACTTATCTTAGTACTACTCTTGGCCAAGCACGCTTAACTGTAGAATTTTGATGGAATCCGGTCCATTAGTGCTGGTATGATTGCACTTGACATCTCCTCCACTTTTTATTCTTATCAGCCACCTCCTTTTCGTTCCTTTTCTCCCCAACACACAGTAGCGCGATTAAACGTACAAGAACCGCCATAAATCATCCAGCGAATGGGCGCTGCAAGAAAATAAAGCGTCTTAAAGATAAAAAATTTGGGTCAGACGCAAAAAAGGGGTGCAACACGAGGACTTCCTAGGGGGTCAATCATCCTAGTACTACTCTAGCCCAAGCACCCTTAACAAAGGAGTTTTGATAGGATCTGGTGCATTAGTGCTGGAATGAATGCACACGACATCTCCTCCACTTTTTATTCTTATAAGTCACCTCCTTTCTGTTCCCATCCATTCCGTTCCTTTTCTCCCTGACACACTATGACGCGATTAAACGCACAAAAATTGTCCTAAACGGTCCATCGATTGGGCGTCGCACGAAAATATAATGTCTTTTAGACCAAAAATTCAGGTTAGATGCAAAAAAGGGGGTGCAACACGAGGACTTCCCAAGGGGTCACCCATCCTAGCACTACTCTCGTCCAAGCACGCTTAACTGCGGAGTTCTGATGGGATCTGGTGCATTAGTGCTGGTATGATCGCACCCGACATCTCCTCCGCTTTTTATTCTTTTAAGTTACCTCCTTTCCGTTTTGCTCCGTTCCTCTCCGACACACGGTAGCGCGATTAAACCTATAAGAACTGCCACAAACCGTCCACCGAATGGGCCCGGGCACTTTCGCCGGCACCATTGGGCAAGCGCGTTGGGACACTGGCACTTGGGCAGAGTGTTAGAAAGCCATTAAAAATTAACAAAACTTTAAGCGATCATAACTTTGCGCTCAGTTGTTCGTTTGAGGCAATTTTTTTTTTGAATCTAGGTATTTTTTTGAGATCTACAAAAAAAAAAAAAACCCGTACACCAAATGGGCCCCGCACAAAAAAATATTGTGTCATTAAGACCAAAAATTTAGGTCAGATGCAAAAAAAAGTTGCAACACGAGGACTTCCTAGGGGGTCACCCATTCTAGTATTACTCTTGCCCAAGAATGATTAACTGCGGAGTTCTAATGGGATCCGGTGCATTAGTGCTGGTATGATCGCACCCTACATCACCTTCGCTTTTTATTCTTATAAGCTACCTCCTTTTCGTTCCGTTCCTCCCCGACATACAGTAGCGCGATTAAACGTATAAGAACCGCCCAAACCGTCCATCGAATGGGCCCTGGCACTGGCGTTGGGCGCTGGCACCATTGGGCATGTGCGTTGGGACACTGGCGCTTGGGCGGAGTGTTAGAAAACTATTAAAAAATAACAAAATTTAAGCGACCATAACATTGCGCTTAGTTGTCCGTTTCAGGCAATTTTTTTTTTAATCTGGGTATTTTTTTGAGATCTACAAAAATTAAACTATCCAACAAATGGGCCATGCACGAAAAAATAAAACGTCTTTAAGACCAAAAATTTGGGTCAGATGCAAAAAAGGGGTGTAACACGAGGACTTCCCAGGGGGTCCCCAATCCTAGTACTACTCTCGCCCAAGCACACTTAACTGCGGAGTTCTGATGGGATCCGGTGCATTTGTGCTGGTATGATTGCACCCGACATCTCCTCCAATTTTTATTCTTATAAGCTACCTCCTTTCCGTTTCGCTCCGTTCCTCCCCGAGACATAGTAGTGCGATTAAACGTACAAAAACCGTCCCAAACCGTCCACCGAATGAGCCCCTGGCACTTTTGCTGGCACCATTGGGCATGCGCATTGGGATACTGGCGCTTGGGCGGAGTGTTAGAAAGCCATTAAAAATGAACAAAACTTTAAGCGACCATAACTTTCCGCTTAGTTGTCTGTTTGAGGCAAAAAAAATTTTGCATCAGGATATTATTTTGAGATCTACAAAAATTAAACCGTCCACCAAATGGGCCCCGCACGAAAAAATATATCGTCGTCAAGACCAAAAGGTCGGGTCAGACGCACAAAAAGGGTGCAACACGAGGACTTCCCAATGGGTCACCCATCCTAGTACTACTCTCGCCCAAGGACGCTTAACTGCGGAGTTTTGAGGGGATTCGGTGCATTAGTGCTGGTATGATCGCACCGGACATCTCCTCCCCTTTTTATTCTTATAAGCTACCTCCTTTCCGTTCCGCTCCATTCCTCTTCGATACGTAGTAGCGCGATTAAACGTACAAGAACTGCCCCTAATCGTCCGCCCAATTGGCCAGGGCAATGGCGTTGGCACTATTGGGCGTGGGCGTTGGGACACTGGCGCTTGGGTGGAGTGTTGGAAAACCATTAAAAAATAACAAAACTTTAAGCGACCATTACTTGGCTATTAGTTGTCTGTTTGAGACAAATTTATTTTTGAATTTGCGAATTTTTTCGAGATTTACAAAAATTAAATCGGCCACCAAATAGGCCCCGCACGAGAAAATATAGCGTATTAAAGATCAAAAATTCGGGTCAGACGTAAAAAAGGGGTGCAACACGAGGACTTCCCAAGGGGTCACCCTTCCTAGTACTACTCTCACCCAAGCACGCTTAACCGCGGAGTTCTGAAGGGATCCGGCGTATTAGTGCTAGTATGATCGCACCCGACATCTCCTCCGCTTTTTATTCTTATAAGCTACCTCCTTTTTATTCCGCCCCGTTCCTCCCCCGCTCATAGTAGCGCGATTAAACGTACAAGAACCGCCCCAAACCGTCCACCGATAGAGCCATACCACTGGCGCTGACACCATTGGGCATGAGCGTTGGGATACTGGCGCTTGGGCGGAGTGTTAGAAAACTATTAAAAAATAACAAAACTTTAAACCACCATAACTTTGCGCTCAGTTGTCCGTTGGAGGAAATTTTTTGTTTGAATCTTGGTATTTTTTCAAGATCAACAAAAATTAAACCTTCTGCCGAATGGGCCCTGCACGAAATAATATAGCGTCTTAAAGACCGAAAATTTGGGTTAGACGCAAACAAGGGGTGCAACACGAGAACTTCCCAGGGGGTCACAAATCCTAGTACTACTCTCGCCCAATCACGCTTAACTGTGGAGTTCTGATGAGATCCGGTGCATTAGTGCTGTAATCATCGCACCCGACATCTCCTCCGCTTTATATTTTTATAAGCTACCTCCTTTTCGTTTCGCTCCTTTCCTCCCCAACATACAGTAGCGCGATTAAACGTACAAGAACCGCCCCAAATCGTCCCCCGAATGGGCCTTGGCACTGGTAGCATTGGGCATGGGCGTTGGGACACCCGCGCTTGGGCGGAGTATTAGAAAACCATTAAAAATCACAAAACTTTAATCGACTATAACTTTGCACTCAGTTGTCCATTTAAGGCAAATTTTTTTTTGCATCTGGGTATTTTTTCGAGATCTACAAAAATTAAACCGTCCATCAATGTGGCCCCGCACAAAAAATAATATAGCGTGTTAAAGACCAAAATTTTGGGTCAGACGCAAAAAAGTGGTGCAGCACGAGGACTTCCCTGGGAGGTCACCCATCCTAGTACTACTCTTGCCCAAGCACGCTTTACAGCGAAGTTCTGATGGGATCTGGTGCATTAGTGCTGGTATGATCGCCCCCGATATCTCCCCCGCTATTTATTCTTATAAGCTACGTCCTTTCCGTTCTGCTCCGTTCCTCCCCGACACACAGTAGCACGATTAAACGTACAAGAATCCCCCCAAATCGTCCACCGAATGGGCCCTGGCACTGGCGCTGGCACCATTGGGCATGTGCGTTGGGACACTAGCGCTTGGGCCTAGTGTTAGAAAACCATTAGAAAATAACAAAACTTTAAGCGACCATAACTTTGCGCTCCGTTGTCCGTTTGAAACTATTATTATTTGATGCTAGGTATTTTTTCGAGATCTACAAAAATTAAATCGTCCACCAAATGGGCCCCGCACAAAAAATATAGCGTCTTAAAGACCAAAAATTCAGGTCAGACGCCAAAAAGGGGTGTAACACGAGGACTTCCCTGGGGGTCACTCATCCTAGTACTACTCTCGCCCAAGCACGTTTAACTGCGGAGTTCAGATGGGATCCGGTGCATTAGTGTTGGTACAATCGCACCCGACATCTCCTCCGCTTTTTATTCTTATAATCTACCTCCTTTCCGTTCCGATCCGTTCCTCCTTGACATATAGTTGCGCGATTAAACATACAAGAATCGGCCCGAATTGTCCACCGAATGGGCCCTGACACTGGCGCTGGCCCCATTGGGCATGGGCGTTGGGACACTGGTGCTTGGGCGGAGTGTTAGAAAACCTTTTAAAAATACCACAACATTAAGCGACCATAACTTTGCGCATAGTTGTCCGTTTGAGGCAAATTTTTTTTTAATCTGGGTAGTTTTTCGAGATCATCAAAGATTAAATGGTCCACAAAATGGGCCCCGCACAAAAAAATATAACGTCTTAAAGACCAAAAATTCGGGACAGATGCAAAAAAGGTGTGCAACACAAGGACTTTCCAGGGGGTCACCAATCCTAGGACTACTCTCGCCCAAGCACGTTTAACAACGGAGCTCTGAAGGGATCCAGTGCACTGGTGTTGGTATGATCGCACCCGACATCTCCTCCACTTTTTATTATTCTAAACTATCTCCTTACCGTTCTGCTCCGTTCCTCCCCGAGACACAGTAGCGCGATTAAACGTACAAGAACCTCCACAAACCATCCACCAAATGGGCGTTGACACTGGCACTGGCATCATTGGGCATGGGCGTTGGGACACTAGCGCTTGGGCGGAGTGTTAGAAAACCATTAAAAAATAACAAAACTTTAAGCGACCATAACTTTACGCATAGTTGTTCGTTTGAGGCAAATTTTTTTCTAAATCAGGGTATTTTTTCGAGATCCACAAAAACTAAACCATCCACAAAATGGACCCCGTACGAAAAATTATAGCGTCTTAAAGATCAAAAATTCTGGTCAGACGCAAAAAAGGGGTGCAATACGAGGACTTCCAGGGGGTCACCGATCATAGTACTACTTTCGCCCATGCACACTTAACAGCGGAGTTTTGATGGGATCTGGTGCCCTAGTGCTAGTATGATCGCACCCGACATCTCCTCCTCTTTTTATTCTTATAAACTACTTGCTTGTCGTTCCTCCCCGGCACAGTTGCGCGATTAAGCCTACAAGAACCGCCCTAAACCGTCCACCGAATGGGCCTCGGCACTGGCGCTAGGTACTGGCACCATTGGGCATGGGAGTTGGGACACTGGCGTTTGGGCGGAGTGTTAGAAAACTATTAAAAAATAACTAAACTTTAAGCGAGCATAACTTTGCGCTCAGTTGTCCGTTTGAGGCAATTTTTTTTTTATCTGGGTATTTTTTCGAGATCTACAAAAATTATACCGGCTACCAAATGGGCCCCGCACAATAAAATATAACGTCTTAAAGACCGAAAATTCCAGTCAGACGCAAAAAAGGGTTGCAACACGAGGACTTCCCAGGAAGTCACCCATCGTAGTACTACTCCCACCCAAGCACACTTAACTGCGGAGTTCTGATTGGGACCCGGTGCATTATTGCTGGTATGATCGCACCTGACATCTCCTCCGCTTTTTAGTCATATAATCTTCCTTTTTTCTGCTCCGCTCCGTTCCTCCCCGACACATAGTAGCGCGATTAAACGTACAAGAACCGCCCCGAACCGTCGACCGAATGGGCCCTGGTAATGGCGCTGGGCGCTGGCACCATTGCGCAAGGGCGTTGGGACATTGTCGCTTGGCCAGAGTGTTAGAAAACCTTTAAAAAATAATAAAACTTTAAGCGACCAAAACTTTGCGCATAGTTGTCCGTTTGAGGCAAATGTTTTTCTGAATCTCGATATTTTTTCGAGATCCACAAAAATTAAACCGTCCACCAAATGGGCCCCGCAAGAATAAATGTAGCGTCTTAAAGACCAAAAATTAGGGTCAGACGAAAGAAAGGGGTGCAGCACGAGGACTTCCAATGGGGTCACCCATGCTAGTACTACTCTCGCCCAAACATGCTTAACATCTAGTGCACTAGTGCTGGTATGATCGCACCCGACATCTCCTCCACTTTTTATTATTATAAACAATCTCCTTATCGTTCTGCTCCGTTCCTCCCCGACACACAGTAGCGCGATTAAACGTACAAGAATCGCCCCAAATCGTCCACTGAATGGGCCTTGGCAATGGCGCTGGCACCATTAGGCATGGGCGTTGGGCCCTGGCGCTTGGGCGGAGTGTTAGAAAACCATTAAAAAATAACAAAACATTAAGCAACCATGACTTTGCGCTCAGTTGTCTGTTGGAGGCAAATTTTTTTTTGAATCTGGGAATTTTTTTGGAGATCTACAAAAATTAAACTGTCCGCCAAATGGGCCCCGTACGAAATAATATAACGTCTTAAAGACCAAAAATTTGGGTCAGACGCAAAAAAGGGGTGCAACACGAGAATTTCCCAGGGGGTCACCAATCCTAGTGCTACTCTCGCCCAAGCACGCTTAACTGCGGAGTTCTGATGGGATCCGGTGCATTTGTGCTGCTATGATCGCACCCGACATCACCTCCGCTTTATATTGTTATAAGCTACCTCCTTTTCGTTACACTCCATTCCTCCCTAACAAACAGTAGCGCGATTAAACGTATAAGAACCACCCCAAATGGGCCCTGGCACTGGTGTTGGCAGCATTAGGATTGGGCGTTGGGACACCGGTGCTTGGACGAAGTGGTAGAAAACCATTAAAAAATAACAAAACTTGAAGCAACCACAATTTTGCGCTCAGTTGTCCGTTTGAGGCAATTTTTTTTTATCTGAGTATTTTATCGAGATCTAAAAAAATTAAACCATCCACCAAATGGGCCCCGCACAAAATCATTTTACATCTTAAAGACCAAAAAATCAGGACAACCGCAAAAAAAGGGTGCAACACGAGGACTTCCCTGGGTGTCACCCATCCTAGTACTACTCCCACCCAAGCATGCTTAACTGCGGAGTTCTTATGGGATCCGATGCATTAGTGCTGGTATGATCACACCCCGACATCTCATCCATTTTTTTTTCTTATAAGCTACCCCCTTTTTGTTCCCCTCTATTCCTTTTCGACACACAGTAGCGAGATTAAACGTACATCGAATGGGCCCTGGCACTGGCGCTGACACCATTGGGAATGGGCGTTGGGACACTGGCGCTTGGGCGAAGTGTTAGAAAATAATTAAAAAATAACAAAATTTTAAGCGACCATAACTTTGCGCTTAGTTGTCCTTTTGAGACAAATGTTTTTTTGAATCTGGGTATTTTTTTGAGATCTACAAAAATTAAAGCGTCCGTCAGTGCGGCCCCCAACAAAAAAAAGGGTGCAACACGAGGACGTCCCAGTGGGTTACCCATCCTAGTACTACTCTCGCCCAAGGATGCTTAATTGGGGAGTTCTGAGGGGATTCGGTGCATTAGTGCTGGTATGATCACACCGGACATCTCCTCCCCTTTTTATTTTTATAAGCTACCTCCTTTCAGTTCCGCTCCGTTCCTCCCCGACACACAGTAGCGTGATTAAACGCACAAGAACCGCCCCAAATCGTCCCCCAAATGGGCCTTGGCACTTGCGCTGGCATCACTGGGCCTGGGTGTTGGGACACTGGCGCTTGGTGGATGTGTTAGAAAACCATTAAAAAATAACAAAATATTAAGCCACCACAACTTTGCGCTAAGTTGTCCATGTGAGGGAAATTTTTTTTTTTGAATATGGGTATTTTTTTGAGATCTACAAAAATTAAACAGTCCACCAAATGAGATCCGCACGAAAATATATTGCGTCTTAAAGACTGAATATTCGGGTCAGACGCAAAAAAGGGGTGCAACACGAGTACTTCCCAGTAGGTCACCCATCCTAGTACTACTCTCGCCTAAGCACGCTTAACTGCGGAGTTCTGATGGGATCCGGTGCATTAGTGCTGGTATGATCGCACCCGACATCTCCTCCGCTTTTTATTCTTATAAGTTACCTCCTTTCCGTTCCGTTCCGCTCCCCTCCACTCCGTTCCGCTCCCCTCCACTCCGTTCCTCCCCGACACATAGTATCGCGATTAAACGTACAAGAACCGCCCCAAACCGTCCACCGAATGGGCCCTGGCCCTGGCACCATTGGGCATGGCCGTTGGGACGCTGGCGCTTGGGCGGAGTGTTAGAAAACCATTAAAAATTAACAAAACTTTAAGCGACCATAACTTTGCGCTCAGTTGTCCGTTTGAGGCAATTTTTTTTTTGAATCTGGGTATTTTTTCGAGATCTACAAATATTAAAACCGCCCACCAAATGGGCCCCGCACAAAAAAATACAGCCTCTTAAAGACCGAAAATTCGGGTCTGACACAAAAAAGGGGTGCAACACGAGGACTTCCCAGGGGGTCACCCATCCTAGTACTACTCTCGCCCAAGCACGCTTAACTGCGGAGTTCTGATGGGATCCGGTGCATTAGTGCTGGTACGATCGCACCTCACATCTCTTCCACTTTTTATTCTTATAAGCTACCTCCTTTCCGTTCCGCTCGACTCCTCCGTGACACATAGTAGCGCGATTAAATGTAGAAGAACCGCCCTAAACCATCCACCAAATGGGCCCTAGCACTGGCGCTGGCTCCATTGGGCAAGGGCATTTGGACCATGGCGCTTGGACGGAGTGTTTGAAAATCAATAAAAAATAACAAAACTTTAAGCGACCATAACTTTGCGCTCAGTTGTCCGTTTGAGGCAAAAAAAATTTTGAATCTAGGTATTTTTTTGAGATCTACAAAAAAAAAATCGTACAACAAAAGGGTCCTGCGGGAAAAAATATCACGTCTTAAAGACCGAAAATTCGAGTCAGAGGCAAAAAAGGGGTGCAACCCAAGGACTTCTCAGGGGTCACCCATCCTAGTACTACTCCCACCCAAGCATGCTTAACTGCAGAGTTCTGATGGGATCCAGTGCATTAGTGCTGGTATGATCGCACCCGACATCTCTTCCGCTTTTTATTCTTATAAGCTACCTCCTTTTCGTTCCGCTCCGTTCCTCCCTGACACACAATAGCGCAATTAAACGTACAAGAACTGCCCCAAACCTTCCACTGAATAGGTCCTCGCACTGGCGCTAGCACCATTGGGCATGGGCGTTGGGACACTGGCGCTTGGGCGGAGTGTTAGAAAATAACTAAAAAATAACGAAACTTTAAGCAACCATAACTTTGGGTTCAATTGTCCGTCTGAGGAAATTTTTTTTGTGAATGTGGGTATTTTTTTCGAGATCTACAACAATTATACCGTCCACCAATTGGGTCCTGCACGAAAAAATAGAGCGTCTTAAAAATCAAAAATTTGGGTCAGACGCAAAAAAAGGGTGCAACACGAGGACTTCCCAGGGGGTCACCCATCCTAGTACTACTCTCACCCAAGCACGCTTAACAACGGAGTTATGATGGGATCCGGTGCATTAGTGCTGGTATGATCGAACCCGACATCTCCTCCACTTTATATTCTTATAAGCTACCTCATTTCCGTTCCGCTTCGTTCCTCCCTGATACCTATTAGCGCGTTTAAACGTAGAAGAACCGCCCCAACCGTCCCTCGAATGGGCCCTGGCACTGGCGCTGGGCGGTGGCAGCATTAGGCATGGGCGTTGGGACACCACTGCTTGAGTGGACTGTTAGAAAACCATCAAAAAATTAGAAAACTTTAAGTGACCATTACTTTCCGCCCAGTTGTCTGTTTGAGGCAAATTTTTTTTTGAATCTGGCAATTTCTTGAGATCCACAAAATTAAACAGTCCACAAAATGGGCCCCGCATGAAAAAATTTAGCGTCTTAAAGACCAAAAATTTGGGTCAGATGCAAAAAAGGGGTGCAACACGAGGACTTCCCAGGGAGTCACCAATTCTAGTACTATTCCCGCCCAAGCATGCTTAACTACGGAGTTCTGATGGGATCCGGTGCATTAGTGCGGGTATGATCGCACCCGATATCTCCTCTGCTTTTTATTCTTATAAGCTACTTACTTTCCGTTCCGCTCCGTTACTCCCCGACACACAATAGCGCGATTAAACGTACAACAACCACCCCAAACCATCCACCGAATGGGCCCTGGCACTAAAACGACCACAACTTTACCCTCAATTGTCTGTTTGAGACAACTTTTTTTTTGAATCTGTGTATTTTTTCGAGATCTACAAAAATTAAACCGTCCAACAAATGGGCCCCTTACAAAAAATTATAGCGTCTTAAAGACCGAAAATTCGGGTCAGACGCAAAAAAGTGGTGCAACACAAAAACTTCCCAGGGGGTCACCCATCCTAGTACTACTCTCGCCCAAGCACGCATAACTACGGAGTTCTGATGTGATCCGATGCATTACTGCTGGTATAATCGCACAAAACATCACCTCCGCATTTTATTCTTATAAGCTACCTGCTTTTCGTTCCGTTCTGTTCCGCTCCGCTCCTCCCCGACACAGTTGCACGACTAAACATTCAAGAACCGCCCCAAACCGTCCACCGAAAGGACCCTGCCACTGGGGTTGGGACACTGGCGCTTGGGCGGAGGGTTAGAAAACCATTAAAAAATAACAAAATTTTAAGCGACCATAATTTTGCGCTCTGTTGTCCGTGTGAGGCAAATTCTTTTTGAATCTGGGTCTTCTTTTGAGATAAACAAAAATTGAACCGTCCACCAAATGGGCCCCGCACAACAAAATATAGCATCTCAAAGATCGAAATTTTAGGTCAAACGCAAAAAAGGGGTGCAACACGAGTACTTCCCGGGGGGTCACCCATTCTAGTACTACTCTCGTCCAACCTCGCTTAACTACGCAGTTCTGACGGAATCCGGTGCATTAGTGCTGGTATGATCGCACCCGACATCTCCTCCGCTTTTTATTCTTATAAGTTACCTCCTTTCCGTTCCGCTCCGTTCCGCTCCCCTCCACTCCGTTCCTCCCCGACACATAGTATCGCGATTAAACGTACAAGAACCGCCCCAAACCGTCCACCGAATGGGCCCTGGCCCTGGCACCATTGGGCATGGCCGTTGGGACGCTGGCGCTTGGGCGGAGTGTTAGAAAACCATTAAAAATTAACAAAACTTTAAGCGACCATAACTTTGCGCTCAGTTGTCCGTTTGAGGCAATTTTTTTTTTGAATCTGGGTATTTTTTCGAGATCTACAAATATTAAAACCGCCCACCAAATGGGCCCCGCACAAAAAAATACAGCCTCTTAAAGACCGAAAATTCGGGTCTGACACAAAAAAGGGGTGCAACACGAGGACTTCCCAGGGGGTCACCCATCCTAGTACTACTCTCGCCCAAGCACGCTTAACTGCGGAGTTCTGATGGGATCCGGTGCATTAGTGCTGGTATGATCGCACCCGACATCTCCTCCGCTTTTTATTCTTATAAGTTACCTCATTTCCGTTCCGTTCCGCTCCACTTCGCTTCGTTCCTCCCCAACACACAGTAGCGCGATTAAACGTACAAGAACCCCCCCAGATCGTCCACCAAATGGGCCCTGGCACTATCGTTGGGCCCTGGCACTATCGTTGGGCCCTGACACCATTGGGCATGGTCGTTGGGACACTGGCACTTGGGCGGAGTGTTAGAAAACCATTAAAAAATAACAAAACTTTAAGCGACCATAACTTTGTGCTCAGTTGTCCTTTTGAGGCAAATTTTTTTTGAATCTGGGTATTTTTTCGGGATCTACAAAAATTAAACCGTCCACCAAATGGGCCCCGTCCAAAAAAATATAGCGCCTTAAAGACCGAAAATTCGGGTCAGACACAAAAAAGGGGTGCAACACGAGGACTTCCCAGGAGGTCACCCATCGTAGTACTATTTTCGCCAAGCACGTTTTACTGAGGAGTTCTGATGGAATCCGGTGCATTAGTGCAAGTATGATCGTACCCAACATCTCCTCCGCTGTTTATTCTTATAAGGTACCTCCTTTCCGTTCCGTTCCGTTCCGCTCCGCTCCGTTCCTCCCCGACACACAGTAGCGCGATTAAACGTATAAGAACCGCCCTAAACCGTCCACCGAATGTGCGCTGGCAGTGGCGCTGGGCGCTGGCATAATTGGGCATGGGCCTTGGGACACTGGCGCTTGGGCAGAGTGTTAGAAAATTATTAAAAAATAACAAAACTTTAAACGACTGTAATTTTGTGCTCAGTTGTCCATGTGAGGCAAATTCTTTTTTGAATCTGGGTATTTTTTTGAGATGTACAAAAATTAAACCGTCCACCAAATGGACCCCACTTGAAAAAATATAGCGTCTTGAAAACCTAAAATTCAGGACAGTCGCAAAAAAAGGGTGCAACACGAGGACTTCCCAGGTGGTCACCCATCCTAGTACTACTTTCGCCCAAGCACGCTTCACTTCAGAGTTCTGATGGGATCCGGTGCATTAGTGCTATTATGATCGCGCCTGACATCTCCTCCGCATTTTATTCTTATAAACTACCTCCTTCCCGTTCCGTTCTGCACCGTTCCTCCCCGACACACAGTAGCGCGATTAAACGTACAAAAACCGCCCCAAATCGTCCACCGAATTGGCCCTGGCACTGGCGTTGGGAGCTGGCACCATTGGGCATGGGCGTTGGGACATTGGCGCTTGGGTGGAGTGTTTGAAAACCATTAAAAAATAACAAAACTTTAACCGACCATAACTTTGCGCTCTGTTGTCTGTTTCAAGCAAAATATTTTTTGAATCTAGGTATTTTTTAGAGATCTACAAAAATTAAATCGTCCACCAAATGGGCCCTGCACGAAAAATTATAGTGTCTTAAAGACCGAAAATTTTTCTCAGACGCAAAAAAGGTGAGCAACACGAGGACTTCCCAGGTGGTCACCCTTCCTAGTATTACTCTCGCCCAAGCACACTGAACTGTGGTCTTCTGATGGGATCTGGTGCATTGGTGCCGGTGCGATCACACCTGACATCTCCTCCGCTTTTTATTCTTATAAGCTATCTCATTTCCATTCTGTTCCGCTCCGCTCCGTTCTTCCCCGACACACAGTAGCTCGATTTGATGAACAAGAACCGCCCCAAACCGTCCACCGAATGGGCCCTGGCACTGAGGTTGGCCGCTGGCACCATTGGGCATAGGCGTTGGGACACTAGCGCTTGGGCGGTGTGTTAGAAAACCATTAAAATATTACAAAACTTTAAGCGACAGAAACTTTGCGGTCAGTTGTTCGTTTGAGGCAAATTTTATTTTGAATCTGGGTATTTTTTCAAGATCTACAAAAATTAAACCATCCACCAAATGGGCCCCGCCAGAAAAAATAGTGTCTTAAAGGCCGAAAATTTGGCTCAGATGCAAAAAAGGTGAGTAACACGAGGACTTTCCAAAGGGTTACCCATCCTAGTACGACTCTCACCCAAGCACGTTTAACTGCGGAGTTCTGATGGGATCTAGCGCATTAGTGCTGGTATGATGGCACGCAACATCTCTTCCGCTTTTTATTCTTAAAAGCTACCTCCTTTCCGTTTCGCTTTATTCCTCCTGACACACAGTAGCGCGATTAAACGTACAAGAATTGCCCCAAATCGTCCAACGAATGGGCCCTGGCACTGGCACTGGCTCCATTGTGCATGGGCTTTGGGACACTAACGCTTGGGCGGAGTGTTAGAAAACCTTTAAAAAATAACAAAACTTTAAGCGGCCATAACTTTGTGCTCTGTTGTCCGTTTGAGGAATTTTTTTATTTAATCTGGGAATTTTTTCGAGATCTACAAAATTAAACCATCCACCAAATAGGCCCCACACGAAAAAATATATCATCTTAAAGATCGAAAATTCGGGTTAGGCACAAAAAATTGGTGCAACACGGGAACTTTCCAGGGGGTCACCCATCCTAGTACTACTCTCGCCGAAGCACGCTTAACTGCGGAATTCTGATGAGATCCGGTGCATTAGTGTTGGTATGATTGCCCCTAACATCTCCTCCGCTTTTTATCCTTATAAGCTACCTCATTTCCGTTCCGTTCGGTTGCGCTCCGCTCCTCCCCGACACACAGTGGCGCGATTAAACGTACAAGAACAACCCCAAACTGTCCACTGAATGGGCCCTGACACTAGTGCTGGCACCATTGGGCATGGGCGTTGGGACACTAGTGCTTGGGCGGAGTGTTAGAAAACCATTAAAAAATAACAAAACTTTAAGCGACCATAACTTTGCGTTCAATTGTCTGTTTGAGACAATTTTTTTTTGAATCTAGGTATTTTCTCGAGATCTACAAAAATTAAACCGTCTGCCATATGGGCCCTGCACGAAAAATATAGTGTCTTACAGACTGAAATATCGGGCAGACGTAAAAAAGGGGTGCAACACGAGGACTTCATAGAAGTTCACCCATCCTAGAACTACTCTCACCCAAGCACGCTTAATTGCAGAGTTTTGATAAGATCCGGTGCATTAGTGCTGGTATGATCGCACCTGACATCTCCTCCACTTTTTATTCTTATAAGTTACCTCCTTTCCGTTCCGTTCCGCTCCCCTCCACTCCGTTCCTCCCCGACACATAGTATCGCGATTAAACGTACAAGAACCGCCCCAAACCGTCCACGGCACTGGCCTTGGGCGCTTGCACTATTGGGCATGGGAGTTGGGACACCGGCGCTTGACGGAGTGTTAGAAAACCATTAAAAATTTACAAAACTTTAATCGACCATAACTTTGCACTCAGTTGTCCGTTTGAGGTAAATTTTTTTTTGTATCTGGGTATTTTTTGGAGATCTACAAAAATTAAACCGTCCACCAAAAGAGCCCGCCTGAAAAAATAGAGAGTCTTAAAGACCAACAATTTAGGTCAGATGCAAAAAAGTGGTGCAACACGAGGACTTCCCAGGGGGTCACCCATCGTAGTACTACTCTCGCCCAAGCACGCCTAACTACGGAGTTCTGATGGGATCCGGTGCATTAGTGCTGGTATGATCGCACCCGGCATCTCCTCCGCTTTTTATTCTTATAAGTTACCTCCTTTCCGTTCCGTTCCGCTCCCCTCCACTCCGTTCCGCTCCCCTCCACTCCGTTCCTCCCCGACACATAGTATCGCGATTAAACGTACAAGAACCGCCCCAAACCGTCCACCGAATGGGCCCTGGCCCTGGCACCATTGGGCATGGCCGTTGGGACGCTGGCGCTTGGGCGGAGTGTTAGAAAACCATTAAAAATTAACAAAACTTTAAGCAACTATAAATTTGCCCTCAATTGTCCGTTTGAGGCAATTTTTTTTTGAATCTGGCTATTTTTTGGAGATGTACAAAAATTAAACCCTCCACCAAATGAGCCCCGCACGAAAAAATACAGCGTCTTAAAGACCAAAAATTTGGGTCAGACGCAAAAAACAGGTGCAACATGAGGCCTTCCCAGGGGTTCACCCATCCTACTATTACTCTCGACCAAGCACTCTTAACTGCGGAGTTCTGATGGGATCCGGTGCATTGGTGCTGGTGTGATCGCCCCCAAAATCTCCTCCGTTTTTTATTCTTATAAGTTAACTCCTTTCCATTCCGGTCCGCTCCACTTCGTTCTGCCCCGACACATAGTAGGGCGATTAAACGTACAAGAACCGACCCAAACCGTCTACTGAATGGGCCCTGGCACTGGTAGCATTGGGCATGGCCATTGGGACACTGCCGCTTGGGCGGAGTGTTAGAAAACCATTAAAAAATAACAAAACTTTAAGCGACCTTAACTTTGCGCTCAGTTGTCCGTTTCAGGCAAATATTTTTTTGAATCTGGGTATTTTTTCGAGAACTACAAAAATTTTACCGTCCACCAAATGGGTCCCGCACGAAAAAATATAGCGTATTAAAGACCAAAAATTTGGGTCAGACCCAAAAAAAGGGCGCAGTTTTAGAACTTCCCAGGGGGTCACCTATCTTAGTACTACTCTCGCCCAAGCACGCTTAGATGCAGAGTTCTGATGGATCCGGTGCATTAGTGGTGGTATGATCGCACCGGACATCCCCTCCGCTTTTTATTCTTATAAGTTACTTCCTTCCCGTTCCGTTCCGCTCCATTCCACTCCGTTCCTCCCCGACACACTGTAGCGCGATTAAACGTACAAGAACCGTCCCAAACTGTCCACCGAATAGGCACTGGCACCATTGGGGATGGCTGTTGGGACACTGGCGCTTGGGCGGAGTGTTAGAAAATCATTAAAAAATAACAGAACTTTAAGCGACCATAACTTTGCGCTTAGTCTTCCGTTTGAGGTGAATTTTTTTTTGAATCTGGGTATTTTTTTGAGATCTACAAAAATTAAACCGTCCCCCCAAATGGGTCCCGCACCAAAAAATATAGCGTCTTAGAGATCGAAAGTTCAGGTCAGACGCAAAAAAAGGGTGCAACACGAGGACTTCCTAGGGCTTCACCCATCCTAGTACTATTGTCGACCAAGCACGATTAACCGCGGAGTTGTGATGGGATCCGGTGGGTTAGTGTGGGTATGATTGCACCCGAAATCTCCTCCGCTTTTTATTCTTATAAGTTACCACCTTTCCGTTCCCTTCCCTTCCGTTCCGCTCCACTCCACTCTATTCTACCCCGACACATAATAGTGCGATTAAACGTACACCAACCACCCCAAACCGTCCACCGAATGGGCCTAGGCACTGGCACCATTGGGTATAGCCGTTGGGACACTGGCGCTTGGGCAGAGTGTTAGAAAACCAATAAAAAAAAACAAAACTATAAGCGACCAAAACTTTGCGTTCAGTTGTCTGTTTGAGGCAATATTTTTTTTAAATCTGGGTATTTTTTCGAGATCTACAAAAATTAAACTATCCATCAAATGGCCCCGCACGAAAAAATATAGCGTCTTAAAGACCGAAAATTTGGGTTAGACGCAAAAAAGGGGTGCAAGAGGAGGACTTCCCACGGGGTCACCCACACTAGTACTACTGTCACCCAAGCACATTAACGGTGGTGTTCTGCTGGGATCCGGTGCATTAGTGCTGGTATGATCGCACTCGACCTTTCCTCCGCTTTTTATTCTTATAAGTTACCTTCTTTCCGTTCTGTTCAGCTCTGCTCCACTCCGTTCCTCCCCGACACACAGTAGCGCCATTAAACGTACAAGAACCGCCAAAACCGTCCACTGAATGGGCCCTGGCACTGGCACCATTGGGCATGGCAGTTGGGACACAGACGATTGGGCGGAGAGTTAGAAAACCATTAAAAAATAATAAAACTTTAACCGACCATAACTTTGAACCTAGCTGTCCGTTTGAGGCATCTTTTTTTTTGAATGTGGGTATTATTTTCGAGATCTACAAAAAAGAAACCGTCCACCAAATGGGCCCTGCACCAAAAAATTCGGTTCAAAGGCAAAAAAGGGGGGCAACACGAAGACTTCCCAGAGGGTCACGCATCCTAGAACTACTGTTACCCAAGCACGCTTAACTGCGGAGTTTTGATGGGATCCAGTGCATTAATGCTAATATGATCGCACCCGGCATCTGCTCCGCTTTTTATTCTTACAAGTTTCATCATTTCTGTTCCGTTCCGTTCCGTTTCGCTCCTTTCCGTTCCTCCCCGACACACAGTCGCACGATTAAACGTACAAGAACAACCCCAAATCATCCACAGAATGGGCCCTGGCCCTGGCACCACTGAGCATGACCGTTGGGACACAGGCGCTTGGGCGGAGTGTAAGAAAACGATTAAAAAATAACAAAATTTTAAGCGACCGTAACTTTGCACTCAGTTCTCTGTTTGAGGCAAATATTTTTTTGAATCTGGGTATTTTTTCGAGATCTACGAAAATTAAACCGTATAATAAATGGGCCCCGCACGAAAAAATATAGCGTCTTAAAAACCTAAAATTCGTGTCAGACACAAAAAAAAGGGTGCAACACGAGGACTTCCCAGGGGGTCACCCATCCTAATACTACTCTCGCCCAAGCACACTTAACTACAGTGGTCTGATGGGATCCGGTGCATTAGTGCTAGTATGATCGCGCCAGACATCTGCTCCGCTTTTTATTCTTATAAAATACCTCATTTCTGTTTCGTTCCGCTCCGCTCCACACCGTTCCTCCCCGACACACAGTAGCGCGATTAAACGTACAAGAACCGCCACAAACCGTCCACCGAACGGGCCCTGGCACTGGCACCATTGGGAATGACCATTGGGACACTGGCGCTTGGGCGGAGTGTTAGAAAACCAATAAAAAATAACAAAAAATTTAACCGACCATAACTTTGCGCTCAGTTGTCCGTTTGAGGTAAAAAAAATTTTGAATCTGGGTATTTTTTGGAGATGTACAAAAATTAAACCATCCACTAAATGGGCCCCACCAGAAAAAATATAAAGTCTTAAAAATCAAAAATTTGGGTCAGACGCAAAAAAGGGTGCAACACGAGGACTTCCTAGGGGGTCACCAATCCAAGTAATACTCTCGCCCAAGCACAATTAACTGCGGAGTTCTGGTGGGATCTGGTGCATTAGTGCTGGTATGATCGCACCTGACATCTCCTCCGCTTTTTATTCTTATAAGTTACCTACTTTCCGTCCCGTTCCGCTCCGTTCCTCCCCGACACACATTAGCGCGATTAAACGTTCAAGAAATGCCCCAGCCCGTCCACCGAAAGGGTGCTGGCATCATTGGACATAGGATTTGGGACACTCTCGCCTGGGCGGAGTGTTAGAAACCCATTAAAAAATAACAAAAATTTAAGCGACCATAACTTTGCGCTTAGTTGTCCGTTTGAGGCAATTTTTTTTTTGAATCTGAGTATTTTTTCGAGATCTACAAAAATTAAACCATGCACCAAATTGGCCCCTCTCGAAAAAATAGGGCGTCTTAAAGACCGAAAATTTGGGTCAGACGCAAAAATGAGGTGCTACACGAGGAATTCCCAAGGGGTCACCCATCGTAGTACTACTCTCGTCCAAGCACGCTTAACTCATAGTTCTGATGGGATCCGGTGCATTAGTGCAGGTTTGATCGCACCTGACATATCCTTTGCTTTTATTCTTATAAGCTACCTCCTTTCTGTTCCGTTCTGCTCTGCACTACTTTGTTCCTCCCCGACATACAGTAGCGCGATTAAACGTACAAGAATCGCCCCAAACCGTCCACCGAATGGGTTCTAGCCCTAGCAACATTGGGTATGGCCGTTGGGACACTGGCGCTTGGTCGGAGTGTTAGAAAACCATTAAAAATAACAAAATTTTAAGCGACCATAACTTTGCGCTCAGTTGTTCGTTTGAGGCAATTTTTTTTTAATCTGGGTATTTTTTTGAGAACTTCAAAAATTAAACCGTTCACCAAATGGGCCCAGCACGAAAAAATATTGCGTCTTAAAGACCAAAAATTCAGGTTATATGCAAAAAAGGGGTGCAACATGAAGACTTCGCAGAGGGTCACCCATCCTTGTACTACTCTCACCCAAGCACGCTTAACTGCGGAGTTCAGATGGGATCCGGTGCTTTAGTGCTGGTATGATCGCAACCGACATCTGCTCCGCTTTTTATTCTAATAAGTTACCTCATTTCTGTTCCGTTCTGCTCCGCTCCACTCCGTTCCTCCCCGACACACAGTAGCGCGATTAAACGTACAAGAACCGCCCCAAACCGTCAACATAATGGGCCCTGGCACTGGCACCATTGGGAATGACCGTTGGGACACTGGCGCTTGGGCGGAGTGTTAGAAATCCCTTTAAAAAATTACAAAACTTTAAGCGACCATAACTTTGCGCTCAGTTTTCCGTTTGAGCCAAATTTTATTTTTCAATCTGCGTATTGTTTCGAGATCTACAAAAATTTAACAGTCCACCAAATGGTCCTTGCACGAAAAAATATAGCGTCTTAAAGGCTGAAAATTTAGGTCTGATGCAAAGAAGGGGTGCAACACGAGGACTTCTCAGGGGGTCGCCCATCGTAGTACTACTCTCCCCCTAGCACGCTTAACTGCGGAGTTCTGATGGGATCCGATGCATTAGTGCTAGTATGATCGCACCAGAAATCTTCTCCGCTTTTTGTTCTTATAAGTTACCTCCTTTCCGTTCCGTTCCATTCCGTTCCGCTCCACTCCGTTCCTCCCCGACACCTAGTTGCGCGATTAAACGTACAAGAACCGCCCCAAAGCGTCCATCTAATGGGCCCTGGCGTTGGCACCATTGGGTATGACCGTTGGGACATTCGCGCTTGGGTAGAATGCTAGAAAACCATTAAAAAATAACAAAATTTTAAGCGACCATAACTTGGCACTCAGTTATCCATTTGAGACAATTTTTTTTAAATCTAGGTATTTTTTTGAGATTTACAAAAATTAAACTGTACAATAAATGGGCCTCGCACGAAAAAATATAGCGTCTTCAAGACCTACAATTTGTGTCAGTCGAAAAAAAGGGGTGCAACACGAGGACTTCCTAGGGGGTCACCCATCCTAGTACTACTCTCGCCCAAGCACGCTTAACTGCGGAGTTCTGATGGGATCCGGTGCATTAGTGCTGGTATGATCGCACCCGACATCTCCTCCGCTTTTTATTCTTATAAGTTACCTCCTTTCCGTTCCGTTCCGCTCCCCTCCACTCCGTTCCGCTCCCCTCCACTCCGTTCCTCCCCGACACATAGTATCGCGATTAAACGTACAAGAACCGCCCCAAACCGTCCACCGAATGGGCCCTGGCCCTGGCACCATTGGGCATGGCCGTTGGGACGCTGGCGCTTGGGCGGAGTGTTAGAAAACCATTAAAAATTAACAAAACTTTAAGCGACCATAACTTTGCGCTCAGTTGTCCGTTTGAGGCAATTTTTTTTTTGAATCTGGGTATTTTTTCGAGATCTACAAATATTAAAACCGCCCACCAAATGGGCCCCGCACAAAAAAATACAGCCTCTTAAAGACCGAAAATTCGGGTCTGACACAAAAAAGGGGTGCAACACGAGGACTTCCCAGGGGGTCACCCATCCTAGTACTACTCTCGCCCAAGCACGCTTAACTGCGGAGTTCTGAGGGAATCCGGTGCATTAGTGCTAATATGATCGCACCCGACATCTGCTCCGCATTTTATTCTTATAAGTTACCTCCTTTCTGTTCTGTTCCGCTCCACTCCACTCCGTTCCTCCCCGACACACAGTAGTGCGATTAAACGTATAAGAACCGCCACAAATCATTGACCGAATGGGCCTTGGCATGGGCACCATTGGGAATGACCGTTGGGACACTGGCGCTTGAGCGGAGTGTTAGAAAACCAATAGAAAATAACAAAAGTTGAAGCGACCGTAACTTTGCACTCAGTTGTCCGTTTGAGGTAATTTTTTTTTTGAATCTGGGTATTTTTTGGAGATGTACAAAAATTAAACCGTCCAGCAAATGGGCCCCGCCAAAAAAAAAATATAAGGTCTTAAAAATCAAAAATTCGGGTCAGACACAAAAAAAGGGTGCAACACGAGGACATCCCAGGGGGTCACCCATCCTAGTACTACTCTCGTCCAAGCATAATTAACTGCGGAATTCTGGTGGGATCCGGTGCATTAGTGCTGGTATGATCGCAACCGACATCTCCTCCGCTTTTATTATTATAAGCTACCTACTTTCTGTCCCGTTCCGCTCCGCCCCTCCCCGACACACAGTAGCGCGATAAAATGTTCAAGAACTGCCCCAGACCGTCCACCGAAAGGGCGCTGGCACTATCGTTGGGCGCTGGCACCATTTGGCATAGGCGGTTGGACACTGTCGCTTGGGCGGAGTGTCAGAACCGTGCACCAAATGGGCCCCCTCCCGAAAAAATAGAGCGTCTTAAAGACCGAAAATTTGGGTCAGACGCAAAAAAGAGGTGCAACACGAGGACTTCCAAAGGTGGTCACCCATCGAAGTACTACTCTCGCCCAAGCACGCTTAACTCAGAGTTCTGATGGGATCCGGTGCATTAGTGCTGGTATGATCGCACCCGAAATCTTCCTCCGCTTTTTATTCTTATAAGTTACCTCCTTTCCGTTCCGTTCCGCTCCCCTCCACTCCGTTCCGCTCCCCTCCACTCCGTTCCTCCCCGACACATAGTATCGCGATTAAACGTACAAGAACCGCCCCAAACCGTCCACCGAATGGGCCCTGGCCCTGGCACCATTGGGCATGGCCGTTGGGACGCTGGCGCTTGGGCGGAGTGTTAGAAAACCATTAAAAATTAACAAAACTTTAAGCGACCATAACTTTGCGCTCAGTTGTCCGTTTGAGGCAATTTTTTTTTTGAATCTGGGTATTTTTTCGAGATCTACAAATATTAAAACCGCCCACCAAATGGGCCCCGCACAAAAAAATACAGCCTCTTAAAGACCGAAAATTCGGGTCTGACACAAAAAAGGGGTGCAACACGAGGACTTCCCAGGGGGTCACCCATCCTAGTACTACTCTCGCCCAAGCACGCTTAACTGCGGAGTTCTGATGGGATCCGGTGCATTAGTGCTGGTATGATCGCACCCGAAATCTCCTCCACTTTTTATTCTTATAAATTACCTCCTTTTCGTTCCTTTCCGTTCCGCTCCGCTCCACTATGTTCTGTCCCGACACACAGTGGCGTGATTAGACATACAAGAATCGCCCCCAAACCGTCCACCGAATGGGCCTGACATTGGCACCGTTGGGCACGGCCGTTGGGACACTGGCGCTTGGGCGGAGTGTTAGAAAAGCATTAAAAAATAACAAAACCTTAAGCGACAAAAACTTTGCGTTCAGTTGTTCGTTTGAGGCAAATTTTTTTTTGAATCTAGGTATCTTTTCGAGATCTACCAAAATTAAAACGACCACCAAATGGGTCACGCACGAAAAAATATAGTGTCTTAAAGACAAAAAATTGGGTCAGACGCAAAAAAAGGGTGCAAAGTTCTGATGGATCCGGTGCATTAGTGTTGGTATGATCGCGCCCGACATCTCCTCCGCTTTTTATTCTTATAAGTTACCTCCTTTCCGTTCCGTTCCGTTCCCCTCCACTCCGTTCCTCCCCGACACATAGTATCGCGATTAAACGTACAAGAACCGCCCCAAACCGTCCACCGGATGGCCCCTGGCCCCGGCACCATTGAGCATGGCCGTTGGGACACTGGCGTTTGGGCGGAGTGTTAGAAAACCATTAAAAAATAACAAAACTTTTAGCGACCATAACTTTGCGCTCAGTTGTCCGTATGAGGTAAATTTTTTTTTGAATCTGGGTATTTTTTCGAGATCAACAAAAATTAAACGGTCCACCAAATGGGCCCCGCACAAAAAAATATAGCGTCTTAAAGACAGAAAATTCGGGTCAGACACTAAAAAAGGGTGCAGCACGAGGGATTCCCAGGGGAACACGCATCCTAGTACTACTGTCGACCAAGCACGATTAATTGCAGAGTTCTGATGGGATCCGGTGTATTAGTGCGCGTATGATTGCACCCGAAATCTCCTCCGCTTTTTATTCTTACAAGTTACCACCTTTCCGTTCCGTTCTGTTCCGCTCCACTCCACTCTGTTCTGCCCCGACACACAGTAGTGCGTTTAAACGTACAACAACCGCCCGAAACCGTCCACCGAATGGGCCCCGGCCCTGGCACCATTGGGGCATGGCCGTTGGGACACTGTCGCTTGGGCAGAGTGTTAGAAAACCATTAAAAAATAACAAAAACTTTAAGCGACCATAACTTTGTGCTCAGTTGTCCGTGTGAAGCAATTTTTTTTTTGAATCTAGGAATTTTTTCGAAATCTACAAAAATTAAAACCGTCCACCAAATGGGCCCCGCAAGAAAAAATACAGCGTCTTAAAGACCGAAAATTCTGGTCTGACACAAAAAAGGGGTGCAACACGAGGACTTCCCAGGGGGTCACCCATCCTAGTACTACTCTCGCCCAAGCACGCTTAACTGCGGAGTTCTGATGGGATCCGGTGCATTAGTGCTGGTATGATCGCACCCGACATCTCCTCCGCTTTTTATTCTTATAAGTTACCTCCTTTCCGTTCCGTTCCGCTCCCCTCCACTCCGTTCCGCTCCCCTCCACTCCGTTCCTCCCCGACACATAGTATCGCGATTAAACGTACAAGAACCGCCCCAAACCGTCCACCGAATGGGCCCTGGCCCTGGCACCATTGGGCATGGCCGTTGGGACGCTGGCGCTTGGGCGGAGTGTTAGAAAACCATTAAAAATTAACAAAACTTTAAGCGACCATAACTTTGCGCTCAGTTGTCCGTTTGAGGCAATTTTTTTTTTGAATCTGGGTATTTTTTCGAGATCTACAAATATTAAAACCGCCCACCAAATGGGCCCCGCACAAAAAAATACAGCCTCTTAAAGACCGAAAATTCGGGTCTGACACAAAAAAGGGGTGCAACACGAGGACTTCCCAGGGGGTCACCCATCCTAGTACTACTCTCGCCCAAGCACGCTTAACTGCGGAGTTCTGATGGGAACCGGTGCAATAGTGCTGGTATGATCGCACCCGACATCTCCTCCGCTTTTTATTCCTATAGGTTACCTCATTTCCGTTCTGTTCCGCTCCTCTCCACTCCGTTCCTCCCCGACACACAGTATCGCTATTAAACGAATGGGCCCTGGCCCTGGAACCATCGGGGCATAGCCGTTGGGACACTGGCGCTTGGGCGGAGTGTTAGAAAACCATTAAAAAATAACAAAGCTTTTAGCGACCATAACTTTGCGCCCAGTTGTCCGTTTGAGGAATTTTTTTTTTGAATCTGGGTTTTTTTTCGAGATCTACAAAAATTAAAACCGTCCCCCTAATGGGCCCCGCACGAAAAAATACAGGCTCTGACACCATTGGGCATGCCCGTTGGGACACTGGCGCTTGGTCGGAGTGTTAGAAAATAATTAAAAAATAATAAAACTTTAAGCGACCATAACTTTGCGCTCAGTTGTCCGTTTGAGGCAAATTTTTTTTTGAATCTGGTTATTTTTTCGAGACCAACAAAAATTATAACCGTCCACCAAATGGGCTCCGCACGAAAAAATACAGCATCTTAAAGACCAAAAATTCGGGTCTGACAAAAAAAAGGGGTGCAACACGAGGACTTCCCAGGGGGTCTGCGGAGTTCTGAAGGGATCTGGCGCATTAGTGCTGGTACGATCGCACCTGACATCTCCACCGCTTTTTATTCTGATAAGTTACCTCCTTTCCGTTCCATTCCGCTCCTCTCCACTCCATTTCGCTCCTCTCCACTCCGTTCCTCCCCGACACAGTATCGTGATTAAATATACAAGAACCGCCCCAAACTGTCCACCAAATGGGCCCTGGCCCTGGCACCATTGGGCATGGCCGTTGGGACACTGGCGCTTGGGCGGAGTGTTGGAAAACCATTAAAATATAACAAAACTTTAAGCGACCATAACTTTGTGCTCAATTGTCCGTTTGAGGCAATTTTTTTTTTGAACCTGGGTATTTTTCCGAGATCTACAAATATTGAAACCTTCCACCAAATGGGCCTCGCACGAAAAAATATAGTGTCTTAAAGACCGAAAACTCGAGTCTGACACAAAAAAAGTGTGCAACACGAGGACTTCCCAGAGGGTCACTCATCCTAGAACTACTTTCGCTCAAGCATGCCAAACTGCACAGTTCGAATGGGATCCGGTGCATTAGTGCTGGTATGATCGCACCCAACATCTCCTCCGCCTTTTTTTCAGATAAGTTACCTCCTTTCCGTTCCGTTCCGTTCCACTTCTCTCTACTCCGTTCCGCTCCTCTCCACTCCGTTCCTCCCCGACACACAGTATCGCGATTAAACCGTCCACCGAATGGGCCCTGGCCCTGGCACCATTGGGCATGGCCGTTGGGACACTGGCGCTTGGGCGGAGTGTTAGAAAACCATTAAAAATTAACCAAACTTTAAGCGACCATAACTTTGCGCTCAGTTGTCCGTTTGAGGCAATTTTTTTTTTGAATCTGGGTATTTTTTCGAGATCTACAAATATTAAAACCGCCCACCAAATGGGCCCCGCACAAAAAAATACAGCCTCTTAAAGACCGAAAATTCGGGTCTGACACAAAAAAGGGGTGCAACACGAGGACTTCCCAGGGGGTCACCCATCCTAGTACTACTCTCGCCCAAGCACGCTTAACTGCGGAGTTCTGATGGGATCCGGTGCATTAGTGCTGGTATGATCGCACCCGACATCTCCTCCGCTTTTTATTCTTATAAGTTACCTCCTTTCCGTTCCGTTCCGCTCCCCTCCACTCCGTTCCGCTCCCCTCCACTCCGTTCCTCCCCGACACATAGTATCGCGATTAAACGTACAAGAACCGCCCCAAACCGTCCACCGAATGGGCCATGGCACTGGCACCATTGGGGAATGGCCGTTGGGACACTAGCGCATGGGCGGAGTGTTAGAAAACCAATAAAAATTAACAAAACTTTAAGCAACCATAATTTTGCGCTCAGTAGTCCGTTTGAGGCAATTTTTTTTGAATCTGGGTATTTTTTCGAGATCTACTAAAATTAAAGCCTTCCACCAAATGGGCCCCGCACCAAAAAATATAGTGTCTTAAAGACCGAAAACTCGAGTCTGACACAAAAAAGGGTGCAACACGATGACTTCCCAGGGGTTCACCCATCCTAGTACTACTCTCGCCCAAGCAAGCCAAACTGCGCAGTTCTGATGGGATCCAGTGCATTAGTGCTGGTATGATCGCACCCGACATCTCCTCCGCTTTTTATTCTTATAAGTTACCTCCTTTCCGTTCCGTTCCGTTCCGCTCCCCTCCACTCCGTTCCTCCCCGACACATAGTATCGCGATTAAACGTACAAGAACCGCCCCAAACCGTCCACCGAATGGGCCCTGGCCCTGGCACCATTGGGCATGGCCGTTGGGACGCTGGCGCTTGGGCGGAGTGTTAGAAAACCATTAAAAATTAACAAAACTTTAAGCGACCATAACTTTGCGCTCAGTTGTCCGTTTGAGGCAATTTTTTTTTTGAATCTGGGTATTTTTTCGAGATCTACAAATATTAAAACCGCCCACCAAATGGGCCCCGCACAAAAAAATACAGCCTCTTAAAGACCGAAAATTCGGGTCTGACACAAAAAAGGGGTGCAACACGAGGACTTCCCAGGGGGTCACCCATCCTAGTACTACTCTCGCCCAAGCACGCTTAACTGCGGAGTTCTGATGGGATCCGGTGCATTAGTGCTGGTATGATCGCACCCGACATCTCCTCTGCTTTTTATTCTGAAAAGTTACCTCCTTTCCGTTCCGTTCCGTTCCGCTCATGTCCACTCCGTTCCGCTCCTCTTCACTCCGTTCCTTCCCGAAACACAGTATCGCGATTAAACGTACAACAACCACCCCAAACCGTCCAACGAATGGGCCCTGGCCCTGGCACCATTGGGGCATGGCCGTTGGGACACTGGCGCTTGGGCGGAGTGTTAGAAAACCACTAAAAAATAACAAAACTTTAAGCGACCATAAATTTGCGCTCAGTTGTCCGTTTGAAGCATTTTTTTTTTAGAATCTGGGTATTTTTTCGAGATCTACCAAAATTAAAACCGTCCCCCAAATGGGCCCCGCACGAAAAAATACAGCGTCTTAAAGACCGAAAATTCGGGTCTAACACAAAAAAGGTGTGCAACACGACGACTTCCCAGGGGTCACCCATCCTAGTACTTCTCTTGTCGAAGCACGCTTAACTGCGGAGTTCTGATGGGATCCGGTGCATTAGTGCTGGTATGATCGCACCCGACATCTCCTCCGCTTTTTATTCTTATAAGTTACCTCCTTTCCGTTCCGTTCCGCTCCCCTCCACTCCGTTCCGCTCCCCTCCACTCCGTTCCTCCCCGACACATAGTATCGCGATTAAACGTACAAGAACCGCCCCAAACCGTCCACCGAATGGGCCCTGGCCCTGGCACCATTGGGCATGGCCGTTGGGACGCTGGCGCTTGGGCGGAGTGTTAGAAAACCATTAAAAATTAACAAAACTTTAAGCGACCATAACTTTGCGCTCAGTTGTCCGTTTGAGGCAATTTTTTTTTTGAATCTGGGTATTTTTTCGAGATCTACAAATATTAAAACCGCCCACCAAATGGGCCCCGCACAAAAAAATACAGCCTCTTAAAGACCGAAAATTCGGGTCTGACACAAAAAAGGGGTGCAACACGAGGACTTCCCAGGGGGTCACCCATCCTAGTACTACTCTCGCCCAAGCACGCTTAACTGCGGAGTTCTGATGGGATCCGGTGCATTAGTGCTGGTATGATCGCACCCGACATCTCCTCCGCTTTTTATTCTTATAAGTTACCTCCTTTCCGTTCCGTTCCGTTCCGTTTCTCTACTCTCCACTCCGTTCCGCTCCTCTTTACTCCGTTCCTCCCCGACATACAGTATCGCGATTAAACGTACAAGAACCGCCCCAAACCATCCACTGAATGTGCCTTGGCCCTGCACCATTGGGCATGGCCGTTGGAACACTGGCGCTTGGGCGGAGTGATAGAAAATCATTAAAAAATAACAAAATTTTAAGCGACCATAACTTTGCGCTCAGATGTCCGTTTGAGGCAATTTTTTTTTTGAATCATGGTATTTTTTCGAGATCTACAAAATTTAAAACCGTGCACCAAATGGGCCCCGGACGAAAAAATACAGCTTCTTAAAGACTAAAAATTCGGGTATGACACAAAAAAGGGGTGCAACACGAGCAATTCCCAGGGGCTCACCCATCCTAGTACTACTCTCGCCCAAGCGCGCTTAACTGCGGAGTTTTGATGGGATCCGGTGCATTAGTACTGGTATGTTCGCACCCGTCATCTTCTCCGCTTTTTATTATTATAAGATACCTCCTTTCCGTTCCGTTCCTCTCCTCTCCACTCCGTTCCGCTCCTCTCTACTCCGTTCCTCCCCGACACCCAGTATCGCGATTAAACGTACAAGAACCGCCCCAAACCGTCCACCGAATGTGCCTTGGCCCCGGCACCATTGGGCATGGCCATTGGGACATTGGCGCTTGGGCGGAGTGTTAGAAAACCCATAAAAAATAACAAAACTTTAAGCGACCATAACTTTGCGCTCAGTTGTCCGTTTGAGGCAATTTTTTTTTTGAATCTGGGTATTTTTTCGAGATCTACAAATATTAAAACCGCCCACCAAATGGGCCCCGCACAAAAAAATACAGCCTCTTAAAGACCGAAAATTCGGGTCTGACACAAAAAAGGGGTGCAACACGAGGACTTCCCAGGGGGTCACCCATCCTAGTACTACTCTCGCCCAAGCACGCTTAACTGCGGAGTTCTGATGGGATCCGGTGCATTAGTGTTAGTATGATCACACCCGACATGTCCTCCACTTTTTATTCTTATAAGTTACCTCCTTTCCGTTCCCTTCCGTTCCATTCCTCTCCTCCGCACTCCGTTTCGCTCCTCTCTACTCCGTTCCTCCCCGACACACAGTATCGCGATTAAACGTACAAGAACCGCCCCAAACCGTCCACCGAATGGGCCCTGGCCCCTGCACCATTGGGCATGGGCGTTGGGACACTGGCGCTTGGGCGGAGAGTTAGAAAACCATTAAAAAATAACAAAATTTTAAGCGACCATAACTTTGCGCTCAGTTGTCCGTTTGAGGCAATATTTTTTTTGAGTCTGAGTATTTTTTCGAGATCTACAAAAATTAAAACCGTCCACCAAATGGGCTCCGCACAAAAAAACACAGCTTCTTAAAGACCAAAAATTCGGGTCTGACACAAAAAAGGGAAGCAACACGAGGACTTCCCAGGGGGTCACCCATCCTAGTACTACTCTCGCCCAAGCACGCTTAACTGCGGAGTTCTGATGGGATCCGGTGCATTAGTGCTGGTATGATCGCACCCGACATCTCCTCCGCTTTTTATTCTTATAAGTTACCTCCTTTCCACTCCGTTCCGCTCCCCTCCACTCCGTTCCTCCCCGACACATAGTATCGCGATTAAACGTACAAGAACCGCCCCAAACCGTCCACCGAATGGGCCCTGGCCCTGGCACCATTGGGCATGGCCGTTGGGACGCTGGCGCTTGGGCGGAGTGTTAGAAAACCATTAAAAATTAACAAAACTTTAAGCGACCATAACTTTGCGCTCAGTTGTCCGTTTGAGGCAATTTTTTTTTTGAATCTGGGTATTTTTTCGAGATCTACAAATATTAAAACCGCCCACCAAATGGGCCCCGCACAAAAAAATACAGCCTCTTAAAGACCGAAAATTCGGGTCTGACACAAAAAAGGGGTGCAACACGAGGACTTCCCAGGGGGTCACCCATCCTAGTACTACTCTCGCCCAAGCACGCTAAACTGCGCAGTTCTGATGGGATCCCGTGCATTAGTGCTGGTATGATCGCACTCGACATCTCCTCCGCTTTTTATTCTGAAAAGTTACCTCCTTTCCGTTCCGTTCCGCTCATGTCCACTCTGTTCGGCTCCTCTTCACTCCGTTCCTTCCCGACACACAGTATCGCGATTAAACGTACAAGAACCACCCCAAACCGTCCACCGAATGGGCCTTGGCCCTGGCACCATTGGGGCATGGCCGTTGGGACACTGGCGCTTGGGCGTAGTGTAGAAAACCATTAAAAATTAACAAAACTTTAAGCGACCATAACTTTGCGCTCAGTTGTCCGTTTGAGGCAATTTTTTTTTTGAATCTGGGTATTTTTTCGAGATCTACAAATATTAAAACCGCCCACCAAATGGGCCCCGCACAAAAAAATACAGCCTCTTAAAGACCGAAAATTCGGGTCTGACACAAAAAAGGGGTGCAACACGAGGACTTCCCAGGGGGTCACCCATCCTAGTACTACTCTCGCCCAAGCACGCTTAACTGCGGAGTTCTGATGGGATCCGGTGCATTAGTGCTGGTATGATCGCACCCGACATCTCCTCCGCTTTTTATTCTTATAAGTTACCTCCTTTCCGTTCCGTTCCGCTCCCCTCCACTCCGTTCCGCTCCCCTCCACTCCGTTCCTCCCCGACACATAGTATCGCGATTAAACGTACAAGAACCGCCCCAAACCGTCCACCGAATGGGCCCTGGCCCTGGCACCATTGGGCATGGCCGTTGGGACGCTGGCGCTTGGGCGGAGTGTTAGAAAACCATTAAAAATTAACAAAACTTTAAGCGACCATAACTTTGCGCTCAGTTGTCCGTTTGAGGCAATTTTTTTTTTGAATCTGGGTATTTTTTCGAGATTTACAAAAATTAAAACCGTCCCCCAAATGGGCCCCGCACGAAAAAATACAGCTTCTTAATGACCAAAAATTCGGGTCTGACATAAAAAAAGGGTGCAACACGAGGACTTCCCAGGGGGTCATCCATCCTAGTACTACTCTCGCCCAAGCACACTTAACTGCAAAGTTCTGATGGGATCCGGTCCATTAGGGCTAGTATGATCACACCCGATATGTTCTCCGCTTTTTATTCTTATAAGTTACCTCCTTTCCGTTCCGTTCCGTTCCCCTCCACTCCGTTCCGCTCCCCTCCACTCCGTTCCTCCCCGACACATAGTATCGCGATTAAACGTACAAGAACCGCCCCAAACCGTCCACCGAATGGGCCCTGGCCCTGGCACCATTGGGCATGGCCGTTGGGACACTGACGCTTGGGCGGAGTGTTAGAAAACCATTAAAAATTAACAAAACTTTAAGCGACCATAACTTTGCGCTCAGTTGTCCGTTTGAGGCAATTTTTTTTTTGAATCTGGGTATTTTTTCGAGATCTACAAAAATTCAAATCGTCCGCCAAATGGGCCCCGCAGGAAAAAACACAGCTTCTTAAAGACCAAAAATTCGGGTCTGACACAAAAAAGGGGTGCAACACGAGGACTTCCCAGGGGGTCACCCATCCTAGTACTACTCTCGCCCAAGCACGCTTAACTGCGGAGTTCTGATGGGATCCGGTGCATTAGTGCTGGTATGATCGCACCCGACATCTCCTCCGCTTTTTATTCTTATAAGTTACCTCCTTTCCGTTCCGCTCCGTTCCGCTCCCCTCCACTCCGTTCCTCCCCGACACATAGTATCGCGATTAAACGTACAAGAACCGCCCCAAACCGTCCACCGAATGGGCCCTGGCCCTGGCACCATTGGGCATGGCCGTTGGGACGCTGGCGCTTGGGCGGAGTGTTAGAAAACCATTAAAAATTAACAAAACTTTAAGCGACCATAACTTTGCGCTCAGTTGTCCGTTTGAGGCAATTTTTTTTTTGAATCTGGGTATTTTTTCGAGATCTACAAATATTAAAACCGCCCACCAAATGGGCCCCGCACAAAAAAATACAGCCTCTTAAAGACCGAAAATTCGGGTCTGACACAAAAAAGGGGTGCAACACGAGGACTTCCCAGGGGGTCACCCATCCTAGTACTACTCTCGCCCAAGGCGCTTAACTACGGAGTTCTGATGGGATCCGGTGCATTAGTACTGGTATGTTTCGCACCCGACATCTCCTCCGCTTTTTATTCTTATAAGATACCTCCTTTCCGTTCGTTCC